TATGTGTTGTGAATAGAAGTTGCGTTTTCATTCTCGGACATTCATATGATTCATTTGAATGTGTGAAGAAGTGTATCATTCAAAACAAAAGGATTTTTTCGCCTTTCGCAAAACAGCCAACAAATTATGGCTGGGCCAAAATGTTATATAAACATTCGTTTTCAATGGAAATAACCGAGATTCGTGATGGGTTTTTTTCTCGCATGAATGCAATGTTTTGATGTTATCGCTGTGTATACAAATGTCAAGAAATATCTGCGATAAATCTATCTTTGCTAATCATATGGCTGAATATCAAAAATGGCAAATTAAATGTCTTAATTTTCGATAGCGATCAAGAAAACTACACTTGACTTTAACCCAATTACGAGAACCGAGAAAAACACGTTTAAGACGAGTTCCTTTTGATTCGAATTCACCGAAAAACTCCAACCTTTGCAAACGAGACGATCAAGATTATACAAGACAAAATGAAAAAATAAATAAATCATGGCATAAAATCAGATGAAATGCTGAATGAAATGATAAATGTGACGCTAATCAACTAGGTGCTATTTTCTTGAGAATGTGAAACAAAAATCGGATTTGAGCGGCATACGCAAAATGACACACACCGATGCACAAAAGTAAGCTCGAATTTCTAGCAACGTTAGTTTGAGAGCGAACGGAAGATCTCCTGGCAAGCATTTATGCGATAATTAGGAAATTGACAGTTGCTGATCATAAAGCATGCCGGTATCATTTGCAACTCTTCATTCTATTTTGTATTTGGCCGAGCCTTAGTCGCTTCGCTCATGTTATTTTTGTATGTGTGCTTTGTTCTAGACTCGCCGCTTGAATGGTGGATAGAGAGTGAGAGAGAGAAAAACACGACGCGTACACTTGCATAGTATATATTTACATAAAATTATGCACGAAAAAGATGTGTATATATCCAAGCATTTTACACATGCGTACCGCAAACACCTCTTTGAAGACTACGGAAACATTTCATCAAAATAACCTCGCAGAAGTGTAGTACTATTCATTTTATAGTTGTTCTTTTTTCTTTCGTTTCATTCTTTCGCCAAAGTCTCTTTTTTCACATTGTTCGATATGCTCGAGTGGTTTTTAATCAACAATATTCTGAAATGGATTGTATTTTGCCCTAATTGATCATACACTTTGCGAGCATTAGTTTGGTTGTTACTTCGTTTTCTGTTATTGCTGTTGTTGTTTTTAAAGTAATGTGTGTTTTGTATAGACGAGAGTCTTAGGTCGATTTAACTGTGTTGCTGCTGTTTAGTTTTAGTACACCGAGACGATAGACACTTGCAACCAATTTACATATTCACACAGTTTTAGTTTAGATTAATCTCGAGTACACAGTACACAATGAACGGCTCCAACACGGAATTTGATTCCAAGCGTCTCATATACAACGTCAATATATATACACTCACACACAATGTTTGTATCCTTTCACTAACAATTATAGCTTGTTACAAAGGGTCAAATAAATGGGTTTGTTTGTGCCATTTAATCCGAATATCATAACAAACTTGTGGGTCATCATGTAATTTGTGATAATGTTTTCGTGGTAAACTGACGGAATTATGTCCATTCAACAACAAAAATCGTACGTGCGACGGCGCCAAAAACGGACAAATATAAACGAAAATCAAAACAATGGTATACGAAAATGAAAATGAAAGTACGCTTCAAATTAAGTATTTTTTCAAATTAAGCAATATTTGCGAGGTTTACCGATTCGTAAAATTCATGAATGGTTTAGAATCAGAAATCAACGAATAATATTTTCGAGAATTATAAGTTAAAAAATATTGCGTTTGTCACGCAGCAAAGCGGAAATATCTCGTGGAAATTCTCCTCTATGCGATCAAGCGTTTTTCGCAGAAATATTAACTGTACTAGACATATACAATACTAGCTTAACCAGTTCTCAACTCTTCTGAAGCCATTCACAATAGATTGTTGTATCGTTTCCGTTGGCTGACGTGACATGTCACATAGTATCCTAATGCAGATCGGCACAATCTTGAAAAATTCGGTGACAAAGCAAAGAGAAACGAAACACAAATGAGAGGGATCATCTACAAATTTGAGTATCACATTTTTTCGAGTCAAGTTGCATCAGTAACAGCATTTGGTTGATATATTTTACGTTGACTTAAACTTGAAAACAAAATCCAAACCCAAATGATCGAGAGCAAAAAAAAATGGGAAAATTTTAAACACCAATTAAGCACAAGCAGTGATAGTTCACACTCCTTGTTTGAAATAAAACCAAATAACATTCAACGCTTCATATGTTCACTGTTTACAATGTATTTTATGATCGCATTTTTCGTGTTGTTCGGAGCCGAGTTTATTCAATGACACCAATCATGCCAGGAATTCATTTCATTTCAACTGATGTATTCATTCTAACTTAAATGTGCGAAAAATTCGGATGGGAATTTTGTGGATACGTACATCTCTTATGACAGTAAACAGAAACGTTGTCAAAAGCTTCTAGTTTCTCTATTATTTTTCCATTTCCGCATATGCATTGCCTTGTTTGATACTATTATAATCCAAAATGGTGACGATCTATTTCACAATACAGTTCATGTCTGCAGATCTCTTATTTTTGAATCGAAGACTTTCCCAATATTTACCAATATTTTTTCTTCTTTCTGCCGATTCGCAGGTCAGCGTGCATATATCGAGTCTCTAATGGCAAATAATGCAACAATACGAGAGGGTAAGCGACTGCGAATAGTTTGTAAAGTGCGTGGGCATCCGCCACCCAAAGTGACATGGTTCAAAGATGATCGATCGATAGCCAAAAATCGTTCAAGATATCAGTTTGTACATTTAAGGTAAATAAGGACTTATTTCCCAGACACACATTGCACAAGCTTTGACACACATTTATTAACACCGTTAAAATATTTCTCTTCAACATATAGACGACGATCAGAGTTAATTATCAAATCGGCTTTCGTCAATGACTCAGGACAATACGAATGTAGAGCGAAAAACAAATTGGCGCGACAACCAATTAGGAAATTTACCAGAATTGATGTGTTACCGAAAGCACCAGACAATACAAGTAAATATGAAAACATTTGATATTAATAATACTTTTATTCACATAGTTGAAATTGAGTTTCTCGCCATCGAAGCGCTGCAATTACATAATATCCCGTGTGGGAAAAAAATGACTTACTTACTTTAGATTCAGTTGACTGTAGTTGATTGAATTTATTTTTTTGTATGAAGAAAATCACTTCGCCCCAAAATAAGCAATTTATTTTAACTTGTAACTTTAAATGATTTCAGTTAACTTTGATAGATTTACACTACACGTTGTACTGAAATGTCAATCAAAGTAAGTCATTTTCGTCCAAAATTAGTTAACTGACTGGTCAGCTACAATATTCGCACACGGGATGACTGCCCAAAAAAAAAAAAAAAAATCTTCAATGCATCCGAACGTTTTATTAATGTGTCATTATTCGGATTTCAGGAGGTAATGGCTGGAATCACTCAGGTTCAACATGTCCAGTGATTGGAAATGCATTTTGTTTGAATGGTGGAACATGTGTTTTTTTCAAAGATGTCGGCGAACCAGCATGCAAGTAAGTAAATTTTGTATATACACTTTGGTAGGTTATCAACTTTACACTGGCAGTGAGTACGTGTGTATAGCTCAAGCCAGGTTAAGTGAATACTGTAACAGAGGGCATAATAGTTTTTTCTCTTTTTTTCATTGCTTACTGCAGTGTGCTATTATCAGTTTTGAGGGCATTTGTGCAATTGATGTCATAATCATTGCCTATTGAGTCTAACAGAAGTGACAGTGACTATGAGACGCACAAACACGTTACGTTTTGCTCCCTCTCTCTCTCTCTCTCTCTCTCTCTCTCATCGACACATTTCCACTGAACACATAAGTATTTTTAGTGTGTGTGTGTCTGTGTGCGCGGGCAAACAAAGTTTTTGAGGTGTGTTCAGATCCCGCATTGCATTTTAAAAAGCCAAAATGTTCATAATGGTGTTGATGATACAAATAAGCTACACGTTCTTCTTTACTGCTTTGAGACCCTTGAAAGGGTTCTTGCTATTAAATATTGACAGAAACACATAAGAAGCGATGAAGAACTACAGACATTCAGTACGCTTTCTTCATTCAGCTTTGAATGAAAAAGAATTTTGTATTGTCCCTTATATAAGTTACCGTTATTCTATTAAGTGATCTTATGTTTCTGAATTGGGGTGTTCACGGTTCAGCCGTCAAAACATCACATAGAATTCGGTCAAAATACGTACAACGGTTGAGTTATTGATACTGAAATAAAAACGGGCTGAAATGAATTTCAAAAGAAGAAGAAGAAGAAAAAGAAAAATTGAGCATGCATATGGAGCCCATACACTCGCTACACTCTCGCTCGAATTCGTATATCGAGCGCACAGCTATTTTTAGTATAGTTCGTCGACAGTTCGATAGACTTCTTCTTAATCGCTTCTCTTTTTCATCACATCATTATCTCCGATTCTCTCTTCGATATTATCTCTGACTATCTGGCGGAGCACAAGCGATTCTGTCATAAGAACAGTGCTTATTGGCAGTAATGGTTGATTTAGTTATTTTCATTTTCTTCTCCTTACTTTTTTTCCCTCTTAAATAGTGATACAAAGATGCCAGAATTCACAAATCATTCAAACGTTTCACACATACACACACAAACATCTTTCATAACACCACAACATATTTTCAGCGATTTCTAAATGTGTGAAAACAAACACACATCAAAAGATACATGACAGAAAAATCCAATTTCTAAAATGAGACAACAAGAATGGGGAAAAATTGAAATATCGAGAAAGAGAGAGAGAGAGAGAGAGAGAGAGAGAAGAGATAATGTCCAGGACAATTATTGATTGAGGGAGTCTGTTTGGTTTTTGGTTTAATGCCTATCTTATCGTTGTGTTACACAGTTTCTCGCAGAAAATTATGTAGAAAACTAAATTCAAAAATTCGAATGATATGTTGTTCTGCGGAATACGCATTACAAACGTTCAACAACAGATGTAAATACATCACGTCATCGTTATTCATTCAGCAACCCTTCTGATGTGATCGACCCAATGACAACAGCACGTCCTACTGCTAACGCACACGCGCACATCCACAATCACGCGTTCCACCATAAATATGCCGGATAATGAAGACAACCGAATGAAAATTTCTGATGTTTACATGGAAATAAATTTTGAAATGAGCCAGAGATCAGCGCGCGAACCGACAACATTTCAGTTTTCGTTTTGGTGAAATAGGAGCGTGTACAATACAATTGATATACCATTTGTTCTCTTAATGACACTAAAATTTCACACCTCCACGTATGTGTGTGAGTTGATTGTTTTCACCCCATGAGCATGCTGCTTCTTCTTATTTCTCTTTTATTTAATTCGTCATGTGTATCTGAGGATCCTGCAATGACACAGACACAGACACACACACACACACGTGTAAACAATTTTGTATGCATTCTAGCATAGAAGTTTTGATCGCTTCTGCTACTGCATTGGCGCACTGTAGTGTATTTTAATATCACTTATTTTCATTCTGGTGCCGCTAATTCTGATTTCTCTTTCGCTCACTTCGTCCTTCCATCTTCGTGTGGTTTTTTCGTCTCTCTCGCCGCGGCTTGTTCGGTAATTGTTTCGGGATCTCTGTTGCTCGTTTGGTCGCTCGCGTACGGTCACTCCCCATGTCTCACGTTCTCTTTCTCTCTATTTTTATCCGTGTATAATACGGGACACATGCAAACGTGCACATTGCCGTAGATTTGTTGTTGATCGCAGCGCAGAGCACAGATGAAACGCAAAATAATTGGAAGAATCAAATTAAATTTCGACGGTTGCTACGTTTCTTTCATCAATAACATTTATACACGTTAATGGTTTCACTTCGTTTCAGATCTATGTACTCTTCTTTCTCTCTTGTTTGTTATTGTTGTTGCTGTGTGTAATGCCCGTGCTTTCTAAGTCTCTATCCTATCCTATACTATGCACATGTTCAAGAAAAACGCTTCTTTTGGAAATGTGCGCGCACATTATTCTCAAAGTGTAATTGTTCATGTTTTTGTGTGGTCAATTTCGAAATTACCGATGGGCTATTTATGTAACACAATTACGAACTCTCCGGTAGGGGACGAAAGTGAAAAAAAAAACCAATAACATTTCCTTGGCATTATATAACACACACTCGATACGTACAGAGAGAAAATAAAAACAAAAAGAACAAAAAGAGAGCAACGAAACACACAGTGCTTGGACAATTTCGGAAGTCGGTCACAAACATAATAAAAGTTGACTAGAATGAGTGGCCAATGCCCAAAAAGTGTCATGGCAGAAACATACACACACACACACACACACAGTCAGAATGAGAGGCAGACAGAGAGGAAAGAACGACGCCACAAAACAGACGTGTCGTTATGATGAAATCATAATTTATACTCACAATTAACGAGCTGTATGCTAAAAAGCAAACTCAATTTTATCGGAATAGAGAACATTTTCGTTTTTCCTCTCCTTCGCAGCTTTTTATGTCTCCTTTTTCCTATTTCATTCCTTCTACCAAATTGCGGAAATAATAACGATCAAAGAGACATTATATTGTGATATCTTCTTAGTACAGCCCAAGAAAATGCTCTTCCAATTGAAAATTTTGTAAAATAGAACATTGTTAAACGATTTAAATTCTAAATTTCTTTCTTAGGTGTCCGGATGGCTTTCTGGGGAATCGATGTGAAACGAAAAATCCGACAAACATACATTCGAGTACGTATCGAAATAATCAAGATATTCGACAACAGCAACATCACTGCGGCGATAACAATTTTTACGGGAGTTACTATTGCTAAAAAAAAATGGGTGCCGCCTATAGCAACAATTGTTGATCGACTTACAACTCGATTTACATCCCATCAAAAAGAAACCAAACAGATTTGTTGTTTTCTTATTTTTCGTACGGAATTGCAAGTACAGGGAACGCGTAACACACACAGCGCATTCGCGCCAAAATGAGAAAAAAAAAGAAACAAGAACAAAACGATAGAAAATTACGTTTGCTTAGATACACATTCGCTTGCCGCGCGCGAGACACAACTGTTTTTAAACCTCCATTCATTTTTTATTCATGAATCGAATGCGAATGCAAATGAAAGCGTTATTCTGTGCGTCTAAATGCGTTTCATTCGATTCTTCTCATCTTCGTTTGTCATTTTATGTTTGTTCTATAGTTGTTGTTTTTTTTTTTTTTGGTTGTTTTATTTCATTGACAGAACGATGTTCTGATGTCTTGTTTCAAATACGACAAAGATAGAGGAAAAAAAGCAAACAAACTGTAGTGAACTAATAATAGAGAAAAAGAAAAGTAAAATTTAGTATGGTTTAAGACATTCCATCGCGCAAAAAAATGCACAATAGATATTTTCCAATAACTTGAGCATTTCTTTTTTTCTTTCGCCGAAAAATTTCGAAATTTTGGTATTACCAATTTTTTTTTCGGGCAAGAATTTCAACGTGAAATACTACACATTTGACACATCACACATACAATAAAGTCTAGATAGACATTTAGAGATGGAATGAAATACGAAATTTCTCATAGGATTTTGAGTACGTTTTTTTTTTTTTTTTAATTAAATTTTAGTGTCAGACAAGTGCTTTTGTCTCAGCATATCGATGATGTTTTTCTATTCGTAAAACGGTTTCGTTGTTGATAAATTTGTATTTTCATCATTGGTAAAAAAAAACAATGCTCGAGATTTTGCCGACTCGAATATAATCATAAGAAATTTGATCGATCGTTCTGAACTAGTTTTGATTGAAAAAATTGAGCAAAATAAAAGTAAAAAAAATAACGAAAACAAAAGCAAACACACGCGATTCGACTCAACGATTGGTGCTATAGATGTGGCAAGTGGAGAAAAATCATTTGAAACAATAAGCAAATGCAAAAAAGAAAAACGAATCACGGAAAATACAGCAACAACAACGTTTCTAATTGTAATATTTAATAATATATATTCTATCCATCTGCTTGGTTTCTTTTGGCCATTTTATTTGTACACATCTACTTCTTTTTAAACCAACAAACAAACGGAAAAAACTAGCTGATCATTATTTATTTATTTAATTTTGTAAAAAAAAAAAAAAAAAAAAAAACAATGAAAGAATCAACATCAATTATTATGCAAACAAAACAGAAAGTTTGATCAGAAGAACTAATATCGATGATGAAAATAAAATCTTAACGAAAATATTGCCGATAAACAAAAATTAATTTTAATTTAATCAAAAATCATAATAATAATAATAATGAATAGAAACACAAATACCAACTTAATGTGAGGGTGAATCAAAGCGAACAAAACTTTCACACACGTAACATAATGATATAACACTAATTGCGGTGATTTTGATTTGGCTGACATTTATTGGTGGATTGAAATTGCGTCAGGCGGCCGCTGTAACAATTGTGTCATTTTTTTTCTTCAACGAAATTGGCTTCCCAACGATTCCCAAACTTTGCGCCAACTGAAGAGTCCGAACATTCTTTTTTATATGCAAAATTGTTCCTGTTTTGTATCCTTACCATTTATTTTATATGTATATTGTAGAGTCGAGTCAATGGATGGTCCCAATGAAGAAAAAAAAAAAACGAATTTTCTAATCAAATTGATACATAGAGTCAAACATAAACAAACGCTTCTGACACATTCATTCCCCCAACAAATACAGATCCGCATCGCTGCTCAATTTTGTATTATAATTTATAAAATTAAATACTTGAATTTTCTTCTCATTAGTCATATTATAACTTTAGTCAATAAAATATTTTATTAAAAACGTAACAAAATAAAAAAAACAAAAAACCGAACTTACTGGTACTGGGTTTGGGTTGAACTATTTCAAGGTCATTAAAGTGTCGAACATTAAATATGGTGGTGGCTCATACATGTGAATACCCCTTCCTTCATCAAACTGTGTGATATAATTATAAAAAAAATCATATCCATATGAAGTTGTTACAACAAGCTCAATTTCTCCGATTGTACATGTGGACAGGCGTTTTTCTTTGATATTTGTATCAAACAAACATTTTGAGATCGAATATACAATGTTTACAGACTTTGTAGGTTCATCCTATTCTATTCTGATGCATTCAATCATCACAATAAAAACGACTTCAGTTGTGCTCACACGTCAAAGCGCGACTGAAAAACATTTTTGCGTTAAAACGAAACCGAATTGTGTTGTTCTTGATGAATGCAGAACACCGCATTTTTGCAAACAGACGCTTCATAAAACGTGTCCACATTCAACTCTGAATTATTGCAATGCAAAGTGACTTCTGTAATACGAAATTATCTATGGAACAACATTCTAAAATATTCCGTTTCAATCCAGTTGATTTTAGTTTGAAATGAGACGAATGTGTAACAGTGATTCACTTATTTTAAGCATCGACTGACTACATATCCAAAAGCCGAAATGAAAATAGCGCGAAATACAAACTCGCATACGTTCACACACATTCCACGGTACCTGTTTCAACTAGAAATAATAAAACTGTAAATTTTTATGCTTGGATTTTAGTACACAATAATGTGTTCACACTTTAATTTTCCTAGTATTAACTGGAATTTAAGAGATTATTGTCATTGCTCAATCATTTTACACGTTCGTTGATGAATTAGACCATCTAATTCAACTGAACCGACCAAATAGGTAGAGCATGCGATTCGACTGCATATTCAAGATGATACAGCAAAAATGGCTTAATGTTTTTCGAGCCTAGCATAAAATAGTAAAAAGGGAGAGAGATTTTATTTTTCGCAAAGTCATCAAGTCACAATGTTATCGTTCTTTGGTCGTTTTCAAATCGAATTAACTGAACGTAAAGAACATTCTCGTCGAATGCATTCATCACGCGACTGAACAGGAAAGAGTATCCCAATTTTGTAAGGTAAGAAATAAGAACGGAAACAGTTTGTGTCTTTTGTAATATGAATTGAATTTTCGTTGAATTCAAGTGAAGCAAATAGAAAAGAAATAAAAACGCATTTGTGATTGGTTAATCACCAAATGGTACAACACCTCGGGTGAATAATGTAACAATTTGAAAACATCGCAGATATATTCGTGCCCTAACTATTAGGCTAATATTATTATAATCCCGCAGGCTATACCATCCAATTTTATCTCAACCCATAATATTTTCAAAATGGCATTGGGTTCCATCATCAAATTCATTTGTTTATTTCTGTATCATTTGTTTTGTTCTTTCAAATGTTAACACACATTCCGTACATCGTAAGTCGTTTTTGTTGAAATTGGCGAACAAGTGAATTAAAACTGAACTTCAAATGCATTGATCAATTTAGTCATGACAATAAATTAAATTTCAGATTCAACACTTTTCTTGGAAGGTGGACAGTTGGCAGTGAACGGGGATCGACGCCAGAAACATCATCATCGTAAAAAATACCATTGATTCATCATGCAGTATTTACTGAACAGCTTTGAAGTGAAATAAAGTGTTCGTTTCATTTTCCCAGAAAAGATAGACGATGATTCATCGTGAAGGATTAATCATTTTCAGTGATTTCATGCATTGATCTTTTCGTGCCAGTATATGAATTATTTAGTATATATTAATTGTAAAAAAAAAAAAATCATTCAGCGGCACTTCTGTTGCTCAACACATTTATCATTGATATCAATAAAATTGTAATGAAGCTTGTAAAGTTACAGTTGTTTGATATATTTAAATGGTAAACATCACACAATCGTTCTATAAACCTTATAGGTTTATACATTCCATCCGTGTTTTTCTGCAACTGTAAAAACTTAATTTATAATCATTTGTATCTGTTTGAAAATTCTTCATGAAAACAATCTCGAAATAATTTTCAATTGAATTTATCATGTGGAGAAGTTAAAATAAAATAATGTCCTAGTAGCTGATCATAAAACTCGACTAAGAAATCAATTGATCGTTGTCTTGAATGTTTATCTAGCCATCACTGTCGACAGATGGCGCCATAGGCTTTGTTCTTTTGTCAAATGGACAAATTCAACGAAAGACAATGTCGCCAACTTAACGAAACGAAATGTTCGATTTAAAATCCACCGGTTTCTGTGACAGAACAAAGATAGTTGTTTGAGAAACATTTCGACAAGAAACAAAATACTATCTATCCACTGCGTCATTTGAAAACAAAGCGAAATCTCACACTAAATCATTTCAATTTAAATTTATTTTGCATGTTTGAATGTGATAACAATAAATAAAATATTGTGGAATTGTTTGTTAGTACTTATTTCGATCAATTATGACTACAGCACAAGCAACAAGAAACGCAATCACGTTGAAGGGTTCGGCCGTAATTATTTCGGAATATTTGAGTACGTATTTTCGACACACTCAATTAAGATTCATTTGTTTATTGAAAAAAAAAAAAAACGTTCTAACTGAATATTATTTTTTTTTTCACCCAATTTTAATAGACTATGGCATCAATTCGATACTATTCCAAAGAGGCATTTATCCAGCTGAAACATTTGAAAATGATCAAAAGTACGGTTTGACAATTCTAATGTCCACTGATGCAAAAATCAAAGATTTTTTAAAAAATGTGCTCACACAATCTGAAGGTAATGAACGCAAATTATTTCGCTTCATTCACATTAATAAAAATCCAAAAACCAATTTGTTTTCTTCTTAGAATGGTTGTCGAAGAATGAATTGGAAAAGGTCAGTTTGGTGATTACCAATGCACATTCCAAAGAAGTGCTCGAATGTTGGGAGTTCCTAGTGCAAACGGAAGGTGGCCAAGAAAATGCCGATCCAAATAATCCGACGGCAAAGAAAGAGCTCAAACGTATTCAACAAGAAATTGGCTCGGTTATGCGTCAAATTTCGGCAACGGTTAGCTATTTGCCACTGTTGGATTGCATCTGTTCATTTGACATTCTCATTCATACCATCAAAGATTGCGAATTGCCGGAAAAATGGAACGAAACCAATGAGGTCAGCATCCAAAATTCACAAACGGTTAAGCTGCGATCATTTTCAACCGGTTTGCATAATGTTGATACAATTGTGAACTATAAGCTATCGACGTAAGACACCACATTGTTTTCGATGCCATATGGCTTCTTCATCCATTTCATGTACACATTTATGTTTCGTTTAGAAAAAACTTTACTTGTACTACTTTTTGTTTCCAATTTGCCTATGTTAAATAGTATTTCCGTTATCCGCTTGAAAATTCAATAAACACATTGATTCCATTTTTGAATTTTCATTATAAATCTAAAAGAAAAGATCTTGAGAAATAGATGAGGTTTCCTTTTGTCTGTTCAATACTTGAATTGTCTCGACGGTTGAGTTAAAAATGCTGTAAACAAAATGTTGCACAACAAATTTGTTTACAAACAGATTGCTGAAAAAAAGGTAAAAAAGGATTTGTTCTGTTTTCCATATTCATATTTTATTCGAAAAATTGAAGAAAAAAAAAAATCGTCTCAATTTATGGAATGTACCGAAACAAATATTTTTGCTCAAAGTCTTCGTTAACTCATATTCTTCGTTCAGTTCGAACCCTGCGTCAACTGTCAATTCAAAACGCAACCGACTTTTTTTTCACACTCTCTACCATTTTCCAAAGTCATCTTTGTTTGTTCGTTGTTTATTTTATAAATTCGACTGAAAATTTATATATATTTTTGTATCATTGTTTGTATTCGTCGAATTTTTTTCTTAATCAATTTTATGTAAGTATAAATATTTCAAAAATTCATTATGTTAATTCACAAAACCGTGCGTATGGATTTTTTTCTCCATAATTATAAGACTTGCGTTCGATATAAATCAAACCGTGGCGAAACGCTGTTCACAAAACTTTAGTTATTTTGTCAAAGGAAATCGATATTTCGAATGAAATTGGTACAAAACATCGACTTTTTCTTGCAAAATATCCAATTTTCTTCGTTCTTTAATATATAAACTGACGTGTGATTAGTTTAAAACAACGTTCTACTTGTCTGTTTGTTACAGAGCAAACTGAAATAAGGTACGCATAGCGAAATGGCAATGTACAAAACGTCAAGTGCAAAAAATGAAAATCTTGTTAATGTATTGGAGAAGTATCGGCCAACATCGTCAATAAATTTCAGTGACATAGTTGAAGACAGAACGATTTACGATCAGTCGCGAACAGAGGCGACATTCGATCCGTCTCAGATAAGCGGTCGGCTATCAACATGGGGAAACGATGAGGCAACGATTGGGCCCGACATCGATCCAGATACCGTATCAGTTGACGACATTCTAGGCAATAGCATAGTACACGAGATTCGACACATGAGCCAAAGCCGTCAAGGAGCACACAGCACAAGTATTCGCAATAGTCTGCCATTTAGATTCTCAACATCACAGTGTCCAATTCGTAGCGATGACTTGAGCTGTGCATCGGATGATTTTCGGCCAGGAGCGGAGGTGTGTACACAACGTTGTGACAAACGAACATTTTTTTTTTCTTTTTTTTTTTCTTTTTTTATGCATCGGTAATTTTTTTCAATAGTTTAATGAGCAGATGGATAAGGATGAAAAATCATGGGAACAGGAACATGCCATTATACCACAGATGAGCGTCGATTCAATTTCGGAGTTGGACGTATCACCAAAAACCTTACCTAAACAGAAAAAATTGGTGAATCTACCAGATTTTTCAATGGCTTATTTGGGCGATAGCCTTTCGGGTAACAGTGATATGTCGATGGGTCGGTTTTTCCTAAATCGCTGCGGCGACATTCGGGAAATGATTTCCGCTAAAAGCCCAACCAAGCACATACCCGTTGCATTAGTTGCGAATTCCACTCAATCAGGTTAGTTTATATGATTTTGTCACTACTATAGTCGTATTCAAATCAACTGATTATTTTAATTTAATCGTCATTTTTTTTTCTATTTCAGCTGTTGCTGATAGCGACATAAATTCTCAAGGTAAATTCACGTTTAAAATAGATGTTTAAATAAAAGAAAATTCATCAGAATTCAGTTCATAAATACATTTACGTTTACCTACTTGAAATAGCATCATCTTCGTTCTACGCAGATGACGAATCAAATTCAAAAGCGGCTCCGAAGATTAGCACCACCACTTATGATAAGAATCTGTCAGTCGCTAGTCTATCTACCATTGCGAGTCATTTAGGTAATTTGTTTGAATGACATTGAGTTTTTAATGAATTTGGTTTTTTTAAAATTTGTTTTCATTTTTAAGAAGAAAATGATGCTGAGACGCCCGGATCTTTCCTCGATAAGCTGTACAAAAATAAAACGAAGCCGTTGACAAAATCGAATGTTCAACTCTTGGAAAAAACATTGAACCAACAATCCCAAGCATCTGTTAAATTGGGATCTGCACAAAGTTCAGCCATGAATCAGGAATATCGAATTTATGGCCAGTACGAGCATCCAAACGATAATGCAGACGGTATGCTGAGTCGAATGAATAGCACAAAAATTGAGGAACAAAATAACGAATGGCGCCAGTCCAAAGGCACCACCAGCACAGAAACCATAGGTTCAGATGGATCGGGCAGAACGTTGGAAAAAACTTATTCTCCGATTAAGGATCAATCACCACCAGAAAAACCACTCGAAAATGGTATTAACGGTGGCAAAAATAAAAGGGGTCGTTCGCCAAACCCAGTGCAAGCAACTGACATCAATTCACCTGATAGAGGCCATCGTCAGTATGCGCAGAAAGAAAATGCCGAGAGTGAATATGGTAAAATGAATCGTTTGCCACGACGTTTGCGTGCATCAGGGCAAGAACCGTTAGATGATGTGTCAAGCATTATGAATAATCTACGAATTAAATCACCACCCACACGAGACGGTTCAAAGTCACCAAAATCAGTAATGCTTCGAAAGTGTGAAACCGATTTAAAACCAACCAAAACGGAAAGTCAATCAAATGAAGACCAACGTCGGTATGCGGCTCAAAATCGATCAGTTGACTTACCAAAATTGTCACTGCCAAACTATGGCCTACAGGGAATGCGAACCTCTTATCAAAATCCACTTGATAAACGATGCAATTCGCAATTGAGCACACACAGCGAGTTCACGCAACATGATGGCAAATTCCCGTTGAAATCAAATACATCAGAACTGGTGTGGGAATGTGTTAAATTGAGAAAGAGCGTCACAAAGTTATTTGTCATAAAAAATACCAGCGAAAAGAAGTTGGGATTGAAAATTGTGGTAGTCGGGCCCGGCTTTCAAATTGTCTCCGGCATTGAAGCAGACTCAGTAATTTTGCAAGGACACGAGTGTCGTACAATAAACGTAGCATTTTGCCCGACAGTCATTGGCAAAGCCATTGGAAAGATCATATTCAAACCGACCAAAAATTGGTCGGAAGAAACCGAGCGTTCCGTGTGTTTATGGGCTTATGGTGGTAGCACAGCGTTGCAGTTGCAAGGCATCGAACGAGGCCCGGTCGGCAGCTCATTTCTCAAAATGGGCGAAACCAGTAGCATCACATCGACCACACTGAATCGATCATTCTCCATCTACAACAAGGGTCCACTGAACGGTGTCGCCACAATTTTCATAAAACCGAAAACAAATCAATGCATCAACGAAAGTCACATTCTCATCGAACCGAATAAGTGTGTCATTCGGCCGGACTGTTCAACGAATATAACCGTTAGCTATAAGCTGAGACGAAAGGATTTGGAACGAATTAGAGAACCATCATGTGAAGTATTGACGATTGGTACATTGGAGGTCATTTTCGGTTCAGAACCGAATCGGCAGCGTATTGCCTCAATGCTAACGCAACGCGGAAGCATTCCGTCCATCTACAAGCAGCTTGAATTTTTGGTAAATGACTTTCCAGCGGCCAGCATTGAAAACTTCAGCGATTTTCGAGAGGACATTGACAATGTGTCCGATCTGTTCGGTTGCTTCAAAACATCCGAAATTGCATTAACCATCAATCGAACGAATTTGGATGAGACACAAGATGCTGACCTAAGCGGTATGGATGAATCGGTTATGTTTCGAACTCTGATCGAAGCACCAAAACCAGATCAAGTTGCAACACAGCCGATGGTCGATTTACCAAATACATCCAATGACAAGATGTGGGAGGTCCATCCAAAACGATTGTCAATGGACACGCGCAACAATTCGCGCAAATCAATCACCGTTCAGAGCTTCTTTCAACAGGCACAAACATTCCAAGTGGACTCAGACTATCGCGAATACTTAAATTTTTCAACCACATCGGGCCAAATCAAACCAAAAGGCGAATACACCATTTGCATTGAGCTGAAGAAACACATGCACATCAGCCCATTCAGCGGTGTTATCACAATTTACTTCGAAAAGGATTGCATCGAGATTCCAATCAGTGTTCAACCATTACCATACGAATACAGCAAATATTGAACGTTAGTCGAAGAATTGTATCGTCTAGCAAACCGTAGTTTGGTTTGAGAACAAAAATGTGCTTCAAATGTTTTAGATTTTATTTAAATTCCATTGAAAATTCAAGTCAATATTGAGCTTGCTCGATCTCAAATGAAATTGATTCCTTCCGTTCAATCCATAGCTGGCATTTAATTTTTAATCTCATCCGTACAATTGTAATCATCACTTTCTAGACGAAGCTGTCGTAGATATTAATATAAAATTGAATAAACAATCGCTGAAATGTTCTAAGTAAAGTAAGTTTTAAATATCGAAAAATAATAAAAAAAACAAAAACAATTCCAAATAAATGCCGTACTTCGTGTACATTTATTTCAACAAATAATAATACTTTAGAAATTAAATCTTATAAAATCTTTTTGCTGACAAGAGAAGAGAGAGAAAATTGGAAAGTTAGTTTTCACTAATCATTCGGTGCATATTTTAAGCAAAGATTTGAATTGAAATGAATCGGATCTATCAGCATCTACTTTGCTCTCTAACATCATTTTAAGTTTCTAATTTTTCTATTGAATATAGGTTACAAATTAAAATCAATCAGTAAATAATTGTTTCATAGAGTTTTCCCATAGGAAAAACCCTTCGGTTTGTTTTTGAGTTTGCTGGCCATCGTTCATGACTTAATTAGAAACGTTGCATTTATGCTCTCGATAGAAGCGTGTGCTTGCAAAAAAAGTTGAATTGATTGGTCTATTTATATTCTTTGTATCGGTCTCTCTTTGCTTTATGTCTGTTCTGATCGAAAAGCGTAGTAAACATTGTGCACGGCGAATTTAGCATCCTTGTAACTAGATCTCGCTATCGCATATTTATGGAAATCTTGTTTCATTTATTTTATCATAATCGCTGTTATTTTTTTTTTATTATTTATCGTATGAACATCAAGTGAATAGAAAGTTGTTCGATTTGTTGTTTCGTCGTTGCAGTGTTGTCTGTCTTTGCTTCGTTTCCATTTTTTTTTTTTTTTTGAATCAATTGACGAAATGGCCTTCATCGGCGCATGAGTCTTCCCATCGCTTGTGTTTCTTTGGACAGAAATTGATGATTTCACAGTGAACGGCTTGTTGCTTTTCATTTTTGGGTGGAATAATGCACAGCCGGAATCTGACTTCATCCCCAGTCATAGGAACGTATTCGCCTTCGATACTGTTTTTTTTTTTTTGAAAAGAAAGAAGGAGGAAAAATGTTGAACGAGAGAAAAAGAGAGATGACACTAAAAAATTCCCTTCCGTTTTGCATACTGAAGTGTATCAAGTGAAGTGGTCTCAACTTACTCTGAAATATGTACGAATATGTCTTCGCCGCCATTTTTGGGAGTGATAAATCCATGGCCTTTGTCACGACTGAAACTTTTTACGATACCCGTTTCAATGGGATTGGCCAATGCCCGAGCCGAGCTGCAAATTAAAAATAATCACTTGCATTATAAATGTAAAGACATGGCAATGTCGTTAATATGTTAATTGCAATTAAGCATCACACATTTAAATCAGACGCGCATTTCGGTGTTCGAGCAGGAGAAAAAACAAATGATGGTGAAGAAAAAAAACACACCGAAAATAAGAAGAAGAAGAAGAAGAAAATCTTGAATTGAAACTTCAAAGAACATTGTTGGGTGTGTACACTGTACATCTCAAGCGTATTTATACAAAATACAGAAATAATTACACATCATTACGTCAAGTGTGTGAAAAATGTGCTGTTGTATGCGAGTACAAGATTTACTTTTAATTACGTACGCACCAACTTGTATTTACACATGCAGAGATGTGTGTGTGTGTGACAGATAAAAAAAACTATACAAATACATGACATGAACGTTTAAACGGAGTCTTCGACAGACTTCAAATATTCTATCGTGTTAATGAATCAAGAACATTTTTCTGTTTGATATCCAACCAATATTGTCTCACATTTCTTGCACACGTATACCTTTTCCATTTGTATTGCTTCACTCATTTCTTTTATCTACTTCAATGGATATTTTCGATTGAAAGGGTCATAAATCTCGACATTTTGCGTCTATTGCGTCGAACGCATTAAATAACATTTAGCGGTCAAATTATCTCATGTTACCCGAACTGTGTTCTCCAGCACACACAAAAAAAAAAATTGAAAAAAGAAGAAGAAGAAATCAAAGTTTTGCCAAAAACAAGGAGATTTCTCTGTCGATTTGACCACAAAATGTCCGATAAATGATGCAACATTTCACTCAAACATTTTATTGATATTTTATTGTACTTACGTGGATGCGGTTCGTGTTCGTCTCGTTATAATGGGGCTTGGCAATTGCAATTGCGAATTATTGATGGAACGATTTGGTGAATTATCTGGTGATGACATTTTACTCAATTTTTGTTTTACTTTCCAATGTTATTAATTCACTGCCAATATATTCCAATATTTATCGAAGCACCACAGATGAACAAAAAACATGAAACCGAATCGAATCGAATCGAAATAATAAAAAGAGGTAAACAATAAGAAGAGTAGTGTGTGAATGATGGATCGTCAAGGACAGTATGAACGCCACTGTGTGCTCACAGTTTGAGTGTTACCGTCGAATGTGCGTGAACAGGGTGATTCACGCGCACGAAATACAACCAAAACCACTGACTGTGTACACGACAGTAAATGCCCACCATTTTTCAGCCAATTTGTGTGCATGTCTATAATTCGCCCTGTGTGTCCACACACATGCCGATACGGTTACATCGTACTAAGCATTTGAATTCAGCTATATATGGTTGTAGTACGCTTTCATGCGATGTGATTTTGGTCATGCGCATGTGCCGACAAAAAAGCCGCCAAATTTGAATTTCCATACAAGCATTTCTTCTATAACTCGGTAACAGTTTTGTGGCGTTTTTTATTTGGACCATTGAAATTAAACAGCGTTTTTTTTTTTATTTTGTAAGAGAGAAATTGTTTTTTTATTGCATTGTTTATTCAGATCTTCGTGAATATTAATACTTCTGTTGTGTTTTTCCGTTGTTGTAAAGAATAAAAATTGAATCTGTTTCACTTCAATAGTAGAGTATTGAACCTTGACAATTCCATTTCTCTTGTGAAAAGCAGCGTGCGTTGTTTTTTATTGTTTTTTTTTTTTTTTTTGAATACTGTGGCATTCAAATTCAGCGCTTTGCTGTTTAATATTCTTCACCACCTTCATTTTCACCTTCTCCGCTGTCCATGCCAACCTCTTCGTAATCCTTCTCGAGAGCTGCCAAATCCTCACGAGCTTCGGAGAATTCACCTTCTTCCATACCCTCACCGACGTACCAGTGGACGAATGCACGTTTGGCGTACATAAGATCGAATTTGTGGTCCAAACGAGCCCAAGCCTCAGCGATGGCAGTGGTGTTGGACAACATGCACACGGCACGTTGAACCTTAGCCAAATCACCGCCTGGAACGACAGTTGGTGGTTGATAGTTGATACCGACCTTGAAACCAGTTGGACACCAGTCGACGAATTGAATTGTACGCTGCAATGAGAGAAAATGGTCCATAGGTCAATTAAACGGAATGAGCAATAAAATCAATGCAGTTGCAAAAATTTGCTGAAGAGTTTTTTTTTTCTTCTTTTAAATATCATTCAAACAAACCTTGGTCTTAATGGTTGCAATGGCGGCGTTGACATCCTTTGGTACAACGTCACCACGGTACAACATGCAACAAGCCATGTATTTTCCGTGACGTGGGTCACATTTGACCATCTGGTTGGCTGGCTCGAAGCAAGCGTTGGTAATTTCAGCGACCGACAATTGTTCGTGGTAGGCCTTTTCAGCTGAAATGACTGGGGCGTATGTAACCAATGGGAAGTGAATACGTGGATAAGGCACCAAGTTAGTTTGAAATTCAGTCAAATCGACATTGAGAGCACCATCGAAACGCAATGAAGCGGTAATTGACGATACGATTTGACCAATCAAGCGATTCAAATTGGTGTACGTTGGACGCTCGATATCAAGGTTACGACGGCAAATGTCGTAAATGGCTTCATTGTCGACCATGAATGCACAGTCCGAATGTTCCAATGTGGTGTGCGTGGTCAAAATGGAATTGTATGGCTCGACAACAGCAGTCGAAACCTGGGGAGCTGGATAGACGGCGAATTCCAATTTCGATTTCTTTCCATAGTCGACGGACAAACGTTCCATCAACAATGAAGTGAAACCGGATCCAGTGCCACCGCCGAATGAGTGGAAGATCAAGAACCCTTGCAATCCGGTACATTGATCAGCCAATTTACGAATGCGGTCCAACACCAAGTCAACGATTTCTTTGCCAATGGTATAATGGCCACGAGCGTAGTTGTTGGCGGCATCTTCTTTACCGGTGATCAATTGCTCTGGATGGAACAATTGACGGTAGGTGCCAGTACGGACTTCATCGACGACAGTTGGTTCCAAGTCGACGAAAACGGCACGTGGAACGTGCTTTCCGGCACCAGTCTCACTGTGAAAAAAAAAGAAAAAAAAATTGTCATTTAAATATATATATATATATAAAAAAAAAACAAATACAAAAACATGGCCAAATTTAGCTGCTTTTCTGCGTTATTAGTTTTTGAGTAGGAGGAGAAAATGTTTTATGTGGTTTTATTATTACCTAAAGAAGGTGTTGAATGAATCATCTCCACCTCCGATGGTCTTGTCTGATGGCATCTGACCATCTGGTTGAATTCCATGCTCCTTTAATATTGAAACAAAAACGAAAAAAAAAAAAAACAAACAACATTATAGATGACTACATTAAATGACGTCATTACAGTGTAATGAAACATTCTACTTACAAGGCAGTACAATTCCCAACAGGCATTACCTAATAGAGCGAAGAGAAAATATTTATAATCCAATGAAATTTCAGTTTGAATGCAACGTCAATATAAATCATGTATAATTTCAATCCAAGTGGACACATGCAATGATTTGTTAAATATAGTTTAATCGATCTTGCATTTGTGATTTAATATGAGGAGAGAAAAAGTCGTTCATTCCACTTACCAATCTGAACACCGGCTTGTCCAACATGCACAGAGATACATTCACGCTATGAATAAAAGAATGGAAAAAAACGAAAATGAGTGAATGAAATAGGAAAAAAATGTTTCGCGCAATTTATAACCTAATGAAATCTACTGTAGAATAAAATTTCAGAGAAATATAAAGAACGAAAATATCAAAGTAGACAACGAACCATCCAAATACATTTACAATTTCAATTTTCCTTTATTTTCTTTCTCTCTATCTCTCTCTCTCTCTTTCTCTCTCGTAGCATTCGTTCTGTATGTGATTCTTGTATGCATTTCTTGCGGTGGAAAGAGGCGATAAAAGAAAGCACCGAATAAGTGCACAAAAAAAGAAACGCGAAAAGTAGCTCAAAACATGGTTTTATTTGAATGTTTGCATGTAAGTCGTTGTCGCCGCACGATGAAGAGTGAGAGACGATGGATATGAGTCATGCATGCATCGATTTTAGGAGGTCATCGAATTTCTTTCACTAAACCGTGCTGGGTGTATTTGCTTTTTGACTAAATATAGAATATGCCGCAATGAGTAAACGCGCAAGTGAATGTGCGGCATATGGTTGATAGAATGCTTGTTCACTATCCAAATGGAAATGACGAGAGAGATAGAGAAACAAGAGAGAACACAGCGGAGCGGAGCGTTGGTGTAATTCGTTCTCCTTTTATGGTAAACGAAAAGTGCCGATCACATATTTTAATTCAACGATGTGAACAATGAAACAACGAAACAAAACTAACGTAAAATTTCGGGTGTGGTTTCGTCCCTCTCCCAGATGGTTACGTTATACATTTTTTTTTTTTAAATGTTTGATCGATACTATTTAAATCGGACCTAACAATTGGAACAAGAGAAGGCCACAATTGGAATATTTTAATGGGAAGTTTAACTAGAATTTCCATTACGATTTTAAATTTTGGAATTTTGAAATGAAAAGAAAACTAGATGAAGAACTGAAAAAAATTGCCTTCTTATCGAAATACCGGAATAAATTTACGGTCGTGATGCCGGTAACCGCTAATTAAAAATAATTGGATAAATGAGAGCAAGTCGGCGAACACGCAAACCAAGATTCAGAGCAAAAAAAAAAAAAGAAAGATGGTAACATTAAATGACGATCAAACGCTAACAAGCGTAAATTCAAATATTTGAATTCGTACCATGATATTCTTATTTACCAAGAATGAAAATTTCATTTAAATTTGAATTAAAAAAAAAATCGAAATCTTTTTAAATAACGTACGCTGAATGCACAAAAAAAATCTTACCATTTTGATGAAGTGTTGTCTTCTTTTCTTTCACAAACAAGAAAAATGTAAAATAGTTAATTGGGCTGTTTTATTTAATGCAAAGATCACACAGTCACTTAGTTCAGCAATAGCTATGAACCGCTCTAAGATTGACCAACGTATGAACGGAAATCTAGACAGTCACTTGTATTTATACTGTAGCTATAAATTACGTCACCAAAACGATACGATTGGTTACTTTGTTTCATTCAGCAAACAAATAAAATATAAGGGAGCCCAAACACGTTGGCTTCCTAGCAACGCTTTAAATTCAATATGATATTTCGATTGATATTATTTGATCTGTTGCCATGCACAATCATTTTCACTCGGCTTGCTTTGATGCATTTCTTCGAAAAAAAGTCCGATGAGCGATGAAATTTCGATAATTTGAAAATTGAATAGAAAATTCATCAAGAATTTAAAATATACATTCAGCATATAAATTGAAATTGAGGTGCTGAATTGCTGTCTGTTGTTGTGACATTTCACAACTCAGCTGAATGCAACGCCATAACCTCAACACATGAAATCGTTAGATTGACGTTTCAAACTTTGTTTTGAGTATCGAAAAAAATTGAATTACACCACATACGCACCATGGATGCAGAAAAGGTAAAAACTGAAGAATTTCAATTGGAAGTGGACTCGGAGCTTCGTTTTGAAATTGAAACGCGCAACAGAAAGGTTGTAGTGGAGGTAAGTGTACAATTGGAAAGTAAAAATGTTGTTGACGTTCATCAAGTAAACAAAAACTGTTCTATTGCAGCTGAAAGAAGGTCAAGCCGAACTGTTTGGGACGGAGCTCGTAAAGGGTAAACAATATGAATTCCATACCGGTGCCAAAGTTGCTATTTTCACATATCATGGATGCAAACTGTTGGTCAAAGGTGAAATGGATGTACAGTACATTGCAAGAGAAACGCCAATGGTCCAATATTTGAATGCACATGCTGCCGTCGAACAACTTCGTGTGGTGGCCGATGAACAGAATGAAAATGGTCCAATTGTAATGGTTGTCGGGCCGTGTGATGTGGGAAAGTCAACTGTTTGTAAAATATTATTGAATTATGCGGTGCGACAGGGCCGAACACCGATATCAGTTGATCTGGACGTAGGCCAAGGTAGTATATCAATTCCTGGCACAATTGGTGCTTTCTTAGTGGAACGCATCGCCCATGTTGAAGATGGATTCTCACAACAAGCACCGCTCGTATATCAATTCGGCCATCTCAGCCCCAGCGACAATGATGCATACTACAAATTATTATTATCCAAATTGGCCGAAGTGACGCACAAACGCTTACAAACCAATAAAAAGATTAGAAGTTCAGGCATGATAATCAACACATGCGGCTGGGTAAAAGGTGCTGGCTACAAGCATATTTTACATGCCGCACAAGAATTCCAAGTTGCCGCAATCTTTGTACTAGATCAAGAGCGTTTGTACAATGAATTGCTGCGTGATGTACCAAAATCGACGCAAGTTGTGTTCTTGCAGAAAAGCGGCGGTGTCGTCGAAAGAAGCCGCCATCAACGAAGCGAAGCGCGTGATTCCCGTATTCGAGAATATTTTTATGGTCGACGAACACCACTTTATCCACACTCATTCGATGTGAAATGGTCGGATATACAAATATGCAAAGTTGGCGCACCTGCTCTACCTGACTCATGCATGCCACTCGGAATGAAAGCCGAAGGTAATAAAACCAAATTGCTGCCCACCCAACCGAGTCTTTCGATTTTACATCACATTCTAGCGCTCACATTTTGTGAAAGCATTGAAGAAGATGTCATCAATTCAAATATTGCCGGTTTTGTTTGCGTGTAAGTAAATACAAATTATTCCCCCCTCCCCCAATTTTGTCAATATCGATCGTTTTAAATAATTTATGAGTCTGTCTTGTTTCCTGGGTAATAATTGTTTTATTTCTATATTTGTTTTCGGTACAGAACAAATGTTGATGTGGAACGGCAGACAATTACGGTGCTGTCTCCCCAACCCCGACCATTGCCGAACTGTATTTTCCTGCTATCCGACATACAATTTATGGACAGCCATTAAAATCGATACATGCCACACGGTTAAAATCATTTCATATAAGTTAGATACATGATATTTGTACGTTTTCTATGTGTTTACAACAATTTTTTTTTATTGATTGAATAAATTATTTTAAAAAAGAAACAACAATGGAAATTATCTATCTAAAAACTTTTTTATCATTTGTCCGACACGTTTGAATATACTATTTAATTGTTCATCATTAACCAATTTGGTGTTAAGACGAAAATCACAGACAGAGGTATCATATCTGCTGCCATCGTGTATGCAATTCCCATCAAATTCGTCGTTGAAGGCATCGCTCAAGTGCTTTGCACGAAAATCGTCATTTGTATATTTTAACGGGATACTAACTCGACCAATGACATCATCTTTTGATACATTTATTATAACAATTGGAATCTCTTTTCGCAAATCGGTTGCATGCATCATTATTTTATTTCCCAGAGTATGCTCCGTTTTTATTGCATGAACAATGTATAGTTGATTTTGTAACGATGAATCACTCAACGCTTGTGACACCACATTTCTGAAAATAATATCGAAAATATGTTTACAGCTATTGTTGATAAGGGCCAGTATATATAATAAAAATATAATCGAACAAATTTATTGTTTCAGGCAGTAAATATGAAAATGTTATCGAAACTAAAATTGAGACGTACTTTTCAATGTTTGCTCGTGCTTCGTAGATTTTTTCATCGATATCAGTCAATTCCGTCATGCATTTCGCTCTGGTTGTATACAAAAATAAATTGTTTTTCATGTGATCTCGAATTTCCTTTGACTGTTTCTCCAGTTCCACCAAACAGCTCACATTTGTCTCATTTTCAAGTGATTTTCTTACGCCATCGATTCGCGCAATGAGTCTGGCTTCATGTAAATCTCTCTCACTTCGATCAGCCGACACCACTGCGTCGAATGCCTTTTGTGCTCTGGCTTTGGCTTTGACCAATGCCGTGTTGAGTTCGTTCTGCGAAAATTCTTTTTCCGGTATTTCGTGGAAACTACAAATTGCAAATTGTTTCTTCTTCTTACTAGATTTACACTTAATTTTTAATGAGTCTGCCATCACTTCGATCCAATGTTTGGCATTAAATTTATTTGTTGTATATTTTATTGGAATACAAGCACGCCCATGGATTATTTTATTATTTGATACATTCAGTATAATCACCGGTAAATCTTGACACACCCGCTCTGCATCCGCAATTAGTGCGTCTTCTAGACCTTCTTGTGTATTCAGTACGTGAATAATAAATGATTCATTATTTATATCACGTTTCGCTAAAACGTCCACCATTTCGGATAGAATGCTTTTTCGCAAAAGAGCTCGCTGCGCCAGATGAATACTCTTTTTAATTTCCTCCATTTCTGCAAGTGCTTTTGCTTTTGTTGTGTATGGCATTTGATGTTCAATCAACTCTTTTGATAATTCAACCGCTTCGGTTTCAATCAATTTCCATTGGTCAGATGAATTTTCTTTACTCACTTGAGCCTTGAACGGTTCGAATTTTTGGAGGAAATTCTGCTCATTCTTCATCGCAATTGCAACGAATTGACCGGCAACGGCACTTACGTCATAAGAACGAGTGTTTCCGTTGAATTTGAATGATGTCACACAAAAATCACCCAATTCGCCGGTGTTCCGGGCGTGGGTACCGCAACATGGTTCAATCGATTCGAAATTATTATCATGATTACTCATTTTAAGTACACGGATATTTTCATCCGGATAAATTTCACCGGGAATAGTTGTGACGTTATCCAAAGCATAGAGGTCATGTGCCATTAAAAATTGCGTTTCTATCGGAATCTTGGCTTGAATCATATTGCGAACTAATCGTTCTACTTGCGCTAACTGTTCGATGTCAATACGTTTGCCAATTGAACCTAAATCACATTTGAGTTCTTTGCTCGACACGTGACTCGATTGTTGAAAAATTATCTGGCCGGTTACGTATTTCATGGCCGCTTGAAAGAGATGCATCGCTGTGTGATGCTGTGACAATCCGGTTCGATTCGTTGAATCAACATGAAGCTCTACTTCTTGATTTGCTTGAAAAATGGCCGATGAGCTATTTGTGAAATGGCCGCTGTGAATGACATAGCCTTTGTGGATTTCGACGCCATTTACTTGGAAAACAGTGCCATTGGTATCGATGATTTTGCCAATATCACCATCTTGACCACCGGCCGCGTGATAAAAATTCGTTTTATCCAAAACAATATGATAAAGGTCCTCAATTGGCTGGATAACTTGAATTTTGGACTTGATAGATTCTACGTTGAATTCTTTAACATTCGAATCAAATGAATAGTCGTGCATGTAACTATAGTCAGTTTTTGGGGCGTGATTTACAGATATTGCGTCTAAGAATGAGTTATTCACCTTTTGATGGCTCATTTTTGCTTCAAATCTTTTCCTCTGTTTGTGTTGTGCAAAATCTTCCATATCGACCGACACATTTTTCTCTTCAGCAATCTTTTCGATGAGCTCCTCGGATAGGCCAAGATTCACGTGCAGTCTATCGTACAGAAAATCGATCGGAAGTTTTTTTATCGACAAATCACTGCTGCTCAATAATTTGTCAACATCACGAAATCCAATCGCAAAGCCAGCATAATCGATTGTATCCTCTTCGGATAGGTTACTACCAGCAGATATATTCAACGATTGAAATTCTTTTCGATTCTTTGTTCGAATTGATTTATAATATTCATTTTCAAAGCTAAATGTCTCTCGAATATTATCACATTTTTTCTCTAGTTCTGGATAAACCTGACCCAATGTATTCACGATTTCCGGTATGATTGCATTTTCGATGAGTTGTTCATGTTTAAACACATTCTCACATATGTTTATCGTTCGGCGTACAATTTTTCGCAAGCGGTGACTAAAAGGAGAAATGAACAAAGTATTAAAAATAGATAAAATAGATGTAATATCGAGCATGAAACTTCTTCGTTACTTGGTTTGTGGATACATTCCATCAGCAATGCACACACTACACATTCGGGCATGATCAGCTACCACACGATACGAATAGTCGAGATCATATTTTGGGTCAGCTTCATCGTAAATCCCGCTGTACGGTGCAATCTTCGACTCCTATTTTAAGTATTCAAATTTAAATTGAATTAATTTTTATTTCAAATTTCTCATAATTTTCTCATCCGCAAATCAGTTTATTGAAAAAATAAAAATAGGGATTTACCTTGTGAATTACATTAAAAATGGGTGTGAACAGATCGGTATCATAGTTGCTAATTTTCCCTTGCAAAACGGCGACTAATCGCTCAAATCCCATTCCTGTATCGACGTATTTGTTGTGTAATGGCTCTAGTGTTCCATCTAAATTTCTGAAATTGCAACAAATATTTTATGGATTATTATGCTAAAAATCGGACTTATTTTGGCATTGATAATGTACCGATTATATTCGATAAAAACAATATTCCACAGCTCGGTCAAATCGGGTAGTCCTGCGTTAACAAGTTTGGCCCGTTTTTCTGCCGTGCTGTTTGGCAGGTGATCAATGTGAATTTCTGTGCATAAACCGCATGGGCCAGACAAACCCATTTCCCAGAAGTTTGTCTCTGAACCAAACGGCAAAATATGATCATCGGGAACGCCGATGCTTCGCCATACGTCTCGACATTCTTCATCGGACTGCAATCCCAAACGCTCATCACCTCCAAAGTAAGTGACATATAGTCGTCTTGGATCAATCAAATATGATTTGGTTAATAGATCCCATGCCAATCTGCATGCTTTTTCCTGATTCAAAAACGGTTAAATTCTTTCAAATGCATTCCGGTGATCAAATGAAAAATGTTGTATGAAAATAGAGTTCCCACCTTGTAATAGTCACCGAATGACCAATTTCCAAGCATTTCAAAAAATGTGTGATGATATCCATCGGTGCCAATAATATCCAAATCGTTATGTTTACCACTGATTCGAATGCACTTCTGTGAATTTGCTGCTCGTTGACACGGCGCCGCCGATTTGCCAAGGAACACATTTTTAAACTGGAACAAAATGAACATAAGAAAGTGACTTGATGTGTTGCGTGACGCATTCTATCGCACCTGATTCATGCCAGCATTGACAAAGGGAACGGTTGGATCACAAAACGGAGTGACCGGACTCGAACGAATGAATCGATGTCTATGGTCTTTCACGAAATAATCTAAAAAAGTATTCCGTATGCTTGCTGCTGACAATTCTCTGTAGTCATTATTCACATGAATCTTCGACGAATACCTTCGATATGTCTGAGTATACCTCGAAATTCTCAAGAAAAACATCATTAATCAATTCTTTCGTCTTTTTTTTTTTTTTCAAATCAATTGTAAAATCCAAAACTAATGAGTTGAATTTAAATTTGAGGTTATGTGTCAATGTTTTGGTTCTGCTGCTGATCCAAAATGTCAAGTATGTTCTAAATTCAATTGAAATTTGTTTTGAGTTTTAGTACAATGGCATTTAAAACCTTTTTAAATCCCGACAAAAAGAATGCATCTCCAATTTTCTCACATTTCAATGGAAACATCATGTTTTGTTTATTTATGCTTTCTTCATTTTATGACTTAAAAATTAGAAACAAAATCATTTCTTTCGTTCGTATTTGAATGCATAAATCGGCGCTGAATCTTTTGTTGCTGGAGCAATTCGTTTGGGTTTCAGCAAACGTTTTTGTTGGAGCACCTTCTTCAATTCCATTTTCTGTTGAACAACCGTCAGCATTTTTTCACGCTCAATACGATTTTTCAGCTCATTGTATGCTTCATCACGTTTCTTGTACAGTCTACGAGTTGCCTAAGGAAGAAAAAAAAAACAATATTCAACAATGTTGTCATAGATTTCATAAATGGATGAACTCCATCAATGTTTTATATGTCATAAGAACGGGATTAAATCGATAGAAATGAGAAAAACCATACCTCAATATCAGCATCGGTGATGATTAATTTGTTAAGGTCCTCTAAACGCGGTCTATTTGTGCGTCGACTTAGCATCGACGGATGTGTATTGAATCGTTTCGCCAAATCAATTTCATTGTCTTCTTCACCGGAATCCGTGAAAAATGTATGCGTATTTTTAACTTTGTTCGCTTCATCAATCATGTGCAATTCCGCTTGCATTTTTTGTATTTTATTCGCTTCAATGGTCTTTTTCATTGTGATATATTTGACGTCTTGCGTTTGCATTAGTTGAATTTGCTCCGGTGAATGCTCATCTTCTTCTTCATTCTCATGATGTTCCTAAATGCGAGCAAAAATCCGAATGATGTAAATGAAAACGGAGCAAAAATTTATCTACTTATCTTCACTTACCCCATCAATCATTTTCGAATTGATCATGTGATGGTAGAATTCATCTGGATTTCGGTTCAATGCCCGTTTGCTGAGCAGCTTCAATGTTTCTTTCTTTTCATTTTTATCCTTCGCACGCAACTGATAGTCTTTTTTCTTCTCAAGTAAACCAAAATGTTTTCGTGCCGCTGGCTGATGACGCTCTCTGTGCGTCTTTTGATTTGATTTTGCTGCTTTTTTCCATGACGACGACATTTTATTGATATTTAATTTATTTTCTGCGCCAGCAAAATTTATACGACAACTCAATGCGAGACTCAATGACACACGTGAATAGGTTATGTTTTGTAAACACTACTGTATTACACTTGACATTTGTACATGTGCGCTCGATTGCTGTCTGTTGCTCACTTTCAATTGTTTATTTTTGTCAAAATGCTATTTTCATCAATATTCACTGAAACGAATTGCATTTTGATGTAAAAACATGAAACAAGTTATCATATTTTATTTTTATTTATCGCTAATGGAAAATCGCTCAACACAACAACTTATCCTAATATTGAAAAACAACAAGCAAAAACCGATTACCATTTCAAAACGTCTAAACTGTCAGTGTCATTGTTGAAGTTAAGTGCCGAAGTTGCGGTTAGGAATCAAGCATGTTGTAACATAGTCAACAATTATTGCAATTCTTTTTTAAAAAACTGTTTAATAGTAATTTGTAAGAAATTCCAAGTAAATTTATAAAATTAGACTGAGTCGAGTGAGAGTTTGTTAAAACGTGATGTGGACATTTTCGCTGAGGCTTCTAACACAAAACAGATTAATCAGTCGAAACCTCCTGCGAAGAAATGATTCAATTGTTGGATGGTTCAATAGTCAGCCGTGCTCTGCGCGAGGGAAACAAGATAATACCGGCGATGAGTCGTTCAAAGTGTCACGATTGTTTGAACCAGCAGCGCCAAAGGGAAGTTCCGATTCCGAGTTGGGCGTTGAGCTCACCGGACGAATAAACAAATCGGACATTTTGAAAGTACTAAATAAATTTAGCCAAAAAGCGGACAATAAAAGTCTCTGCCTTGAATATGGTCTTGATGGTGAGCGGAAATCTTATTCATGCATCAGTTGTGATTGCATAAGATAATTCCTATAAGGTCGTCTTCAAATGATAATCTTTTTTGAATAATTTTCAAACAGATTACATCCAACAGAAAGCATTTGCCAGTTTTCGCCAATATTGTTTCCAAACAAAATCCATACCAGCAGAGCTATACATCAAACTGTATGATATCGTCAATGGTGCTGGACATCCAGATGACTTGTTCCCATACCTTTTGAATCATGCTAGAGAAATATTCCCACATTTGAGTTGCATGAATGACTTGAAGAAAATATCTGATTTGACAAATCCATCGACATGGTATCCACAGGCTCGTAGCAAAATTCGAAAAATTATCTTTCACGCAGGACCCACAAATTCTGGTAAAACATATAATGCGATGCAACGATTTTTACAAGCTGATTCTGGTATTTATTGTGGCCCACTGAAACTACTGGCCATGGAAGTGTTTCAGAAGAGCAACGAAAAAGTGAGTTGAATCGATTTTTATTTAGTTCAAACTTGTCAATCTACCATTGTTGATGAGTGAAATAATAGCAAATCCAAAATTTAATCTTATTTTCGAAATAATTTAGGGAACACCATGTGATTTGGTAACCGGAGAAGAAAAGCGCAGGAGCAAAGAAGATGGATCAGAAGCAAATCACGTGGCCATAACAATTGAAATGGCACCAGTCGATCGAAGGTGTAAGTTCAATGCTTCATTCAATCCAGGACGAGCTAATATTTTGTCGATTTGTTGAGCACTGACAGAATGAACAACATTTCATTTCGATTATTTTGCAGATGACGTTGCCATTATCGATGAAATTCAAATGCTAAGAGATCCCGGTCGTGGATGGGCATGGACGAGGGCCTTCTTGGGATTGAATGCGGATGAGATTCATGTGTGCGGTGAAGCAGGAACCAGAGAGTTGCTTGAACGTTTATGTTTAACCACCGGCGAAATAGTTGAATACAATCATTATGATCGATTGACACCGCTCACAATCGAAGACAAACCAATCGAATCATTCGAAAAACTGCAGCCAGGCGATTGCATCGTGTGTTTTAACAAAACTGATATCTATACAGTTTCACATGAAATTGAGTCACTGTACGAAATTCAATGATTTTACATATTTTTAAAAATCATCTTTATTTTTTTTTCGAAAAAAAAAAAAACAATTATCTATGTTCTCTCCTTTTCGGAAATTCTACAACCATAGAGGTAGTGAAGTGGCTGTGATTTATGGGAGTTTGCCACCAAATACAAAATTAGCACAAGTGGCCAAGTTCAATGATCCTAACAATCCTTGCAAAATAATGGTTGCAACCGACGCAATCGGAATGGGTTTAAATCTGTAAGTCGTTTGTTTTTCAATATCAAATAATTATTATAAAAAACTATTATTCGAATTTGTAGGAGCATACGACGTATCATATTCTACTCCATGGTGAAATTACAACAGAATGAAAATGGCGAAAAGGGAATTTCTTCTATATCTGTGTCGCAAGCGTTACAAATAGCTGGTTCGGAACAATTTCATTGTCAATTCAATTTTCGATACAACGATAGCTCAAAAAATTCAAAATTGTCAAAAAAGTTAAAATTAAATTTCTGGAAGTGATTTCAACACTAATCATTTGTTTGTCTTGTGTTCAGGTCGAGCTGGTCGATTTGGAACACAATGGGAACATGGGTATGTGACGACGTTCAAACGAACGGATTTGCCAAAGCTCAAATATTTGCTATCGGAAAAGCCTGAACCAATCACACAAGCCGGCCTTCATCCCACTGCCGATCAAATAGAATTATACGCTTATCATTTGCCCAATTCATCTCTTAGTAATTTATTGGTATGCTTTTTCAGTGCATTTGATTCTGTTTCGAAAATTTTATGTATATTTTTTGTTTCTTATTCCAATCAGGAAATATTTACATCGTTGAGCACAGTGAATGATGATCTGTACTTCATATGCAATACGGAGGATTTCAAAGAATTAGCAAATATGATTCATCATATTCCGTTGTCGTTACGCATTCGTTATGTGTATTGTTGTGCGCCAGTAAATATAAAGCAACAGTTTGTATGCGCCATGTTCACCAAGGTAAGGTTTTGAAATTTCCTTCTTCAAAGAATTTTCAAAGATGTTTTTCAGTTTAGAGCATTAAATAAAAATCCAACATACTTTTTGTCCAACTCATTTAGTTTGCCAACCAGCACAGTAAATATGAAGCAATTACATATGATTTTGTCGCGCAGAACTGTGCACTTCCGGTGCGATTGCCACAATCGATAGCAGATTTAGTTCAATTGGAAAATATTTTCGACGTTATGGACATCTATTTGTGGCTAAGTTATCGTTTTGCTGATATATATCCACATCGAGACCGAATTCGAGCGGCCCAAACACAGCTGGACGACTTGATTCAGCAAGCTGTTGCCCAAATAACAAAATTGATCAAAGAAGCAAATGATAATTCAGAACCAAGTAATTAAAATTTTTGATTTTTTTTTTCAAGTTTATTAAAGTAGAAGTACGAAGCTCAATTTGTTTTTAAATTTGTTACTACCATTTCAGGTCAATCGGCAAAAGTCGTTGTAACACTTGACGATTACAGTAAAGCGGCACAATCCGAATCGGGAGACAGAGAACGATTTTCAGAGTATTTAGTTCGAAAAGGTGTTTTAACGTCAACGATGATGAAACAATTGCAAAATGAATTCTTAGGAACATCTAAACCAACCGATTCGCGCAATTTTGAAATTGATAGTAGACATAAGCCATCATCAAAACGAAGCAAAAGACGAAAATAATGTGTACAATATTTGTTGGAATAAAATTTAATGTAGATTTATCACTGAGTGATACCAAATTGCTATATATGTCGGCTTTAATTTTAGTCGCAAACAATACAAAGAACAATATTGACGTACAGTAAATTCAACAGTTGAACTTCCCGTCGGCCACCGAGCTTTTAAAAATCAAATGTTTTCATCACAAATTGTGGGCAACACAATTTTTTTGCTATTGCATTTAAAGGGACTCAACGAACAACCAGCAGGTGTCAAGAATGTCTATACAGTTGCTTCGGATTTTTTTAAAGCGACAGTCGGTATTATTCAAGGATCGAATTGTCAAGGATTCACTGTTGGCGCTGTCGTTGTAACAACATTGACTTGATCTAACTCAGAACGTCATCTGATCCGTTCGCATAACATGATGTATTTGTGATGATCATAACACACGGCATATTAACTATTAATAGCCGGTTGCCATTGCCGTTGCCGTTGCCGTTGTTGTGTACATACACAACATGTATGTGTAAACGGATGAAAAAAAAAAAATGGCGCGTTGATTTAAAAATAGCTCTAACTTAAACTCAAACATATGAACATGAAATAAACAGTGTTTTGTTGCCGTATTCAGACAAACGCTCTGAATTCATTGACAGCTGCGTAGCGTAATTATTATCCAAGTTCATAAGTTGATAATTTTTTTGATTGTATCAAACAAATTAACATTTTACGCTGAAAACAAACAAATTTAAGGTATTGAGACGTGCACCGAACCATTTGTGTGAGTGATTGTGTGATCCAGATGAATCGAATTGAGTTGTTGCTGCAAAATACACTTGAATAGTGAGTCAGATGCCCGTCGACATTGTGTCGGCATTAGGTGGGCCTGTGTAATTGTATTGTGTCAAGTGCGAGAAAAATTCATGTTTCTTCAATCAACTAATCCGAAATTATCGTAGAAATGAAATCTAAATGTTGATCAATCGAAATTTTTTGAATTTCGAATGTAAATATTCATTTAGCGATTTAAGCAATAGATTACAGTGATGAGCACACAGTTGCAACAGAAAACAGGCAATACAATAAGCAATGATATCGCACAAGAATCACGAACATTCTTACGTTGGGTGAATTCAAAGCTGAGACTAAGCGATAAACCACCAATATCCGACGTTCAGACGGGCCTCAACGATGGAATGGTTTTAGTTGAACTGGTTGAAATGCTGTCAGGCAGAAAAATTGGCAATAAATTTACCAAAATCAATTCCAAACTACGACAACATCATTTAGATCGTGTTACATTAGTTCTTGAATGTTTGCGCACCGATAACGTTAACACATTCATCAAAATTGGTAAGACATATTGGGCTCGGGATGATAGAAAGCACTGAATTAAGCTTTTCCCAATTTTTTTTTTCTCCTCTAAAATTGAGTGTTTATTTGATTTTTATTGTGACTCTTATCAAATGTGTAGATCCGAGTAAAATCATCAGTGGAAATATTGAAACGATTCTGGCTGTATTATGGTCATTGATATGGCATTATTCCATTGCTTCAACCATTTTTGAAAGCCCACAAATCAACAACTCGACAGATTCATACGAGACGAAGAAACATAGGTATTTTGTTTTCAGATGAATGTTTTTCAAGTAACAAAACAAATGATGCGTGAATTTTTATTATTAATTTAGACTTTTGCAATGGATTCAAATCAAAGTGCCGAAATTGAACATTACCAACTTTACGTCGGACTGGAGAAACGGAGAGGCAATCGGAGCGTTAATAAATGCTATCGCTCCCGGCTTATGCGCTGATCACACAACATGGAATGATAAGAATCGCTTAACCAACACTATTGAAGCGATGACATTAGCCAGAGATTGGTTAGATATTCAAATGTTCATTCTAGCCGAGGAATTGATCAGTGGCTATGTCAACGAAAAAACACTCATTACATATTTAAGCCAATTTACGACGGCAAAACTGCGCTCAGGTGCACCGCTTAGAGCCAAACGATACTCGAACAGAATATCTGCATACGGGCCTGGAATATCACCGTTCGGTGCCGTTGCTCATACTCCAGCTAATTTTACCGTTGAAACAGTTGCAGCGGGAAAAGGTACGCTAAACATAGGAAAAAAGTTAAATTAATTTGTGTTGCTGAGAATAAAAATGTGTCGTTGAGAATGAAAATGGGATTAGCCGAAACCGCTCGTTTACATGTTGAATCATTTCTGTGTTCCTGGTAAGACTCTTACCGTAAGAGATACGAGGCAAGTGTCTAAAGCAAAGATGATTGTGTGGAATAAAAATGACTGACTGACTTTAGATTCAGTTGACTGTAGTTGATTGAATTTATGTTTTTTGACTTGTAATTTTAAATGATTTCAGTTAACTCTGATAGACTTACACTACATGTTGTACTAAAATGTCAATCAAAGTAAGTCATTTTTGTCCGAAATTAGTTAACTGACTGGTCAGTTACAATGTTTTCACACGGGGAAGATCTTGAAGTATTCTAAACATTACAGAAGACAGCCACTTTCTATATGTTACTGGAGATACAAAAATAATTCACATTCAAACAGATGGTTTCGGCTGCAGCTTATTTCACCAAATGTTTTCATGAAAAGTTTTCATGAGATTTTCCCCTAAAGTTTTTTTCGTGAAACAATTGTATCTAAATGTAGCAATGAGAAAATCTCAATAGAAAAGTGAAAATATTCTCATTTTTTTGACATTATTCTGAGCGCAAATTTTAAATTTTCATTTATTTTTGAGCCAACCATGATGTGATCTCACATTTTTGTGAAAAAATCTCGAAATTTCAAGTTGGCGCTCAAAATAATGTCAAAATAATGAGAATATTTTCACGTTTCTATTGAGATTTTCTCATTGCTACATTTAGATATATTTGTTTGACCAAAAAAACTTGAGGAGAAAATCTCATGAAAACTTTTCATGAAAACATTTGTTGAAATAGGCTACTGATTCTATTTCTATTATCAAAAGCCAGAGATGACTTTAGCGCACCCAAGTGCGCTACACAGCACCCGAGTATTTGTGTTGTTTTTTTTTTGTTTTTTTCTTCGTTATACTTTACCATTTTGGTCAAAACAACTTTGTATCAATATTTTGTGTAACATAACAAAGAACAGTTTTTGAAAAACCACATTTATATTAGTAAAATATGAAGAAAAAATCCCCAAAAGTAGAAATTGCGTAATATTGCGAAATTGAGCCAATGCGCGAAATTACTAGGTGCATATGATCACACAATGCGAATACCGGGGGCAGAAAATGTAAGCTCTTCTTCGTTATGTTACACAAAATATTATTTTAAAAAAAATCCTGGCCAAAAAGCTAAAGTAGAACGAAAAAACAACAAAAATACTCGGGTGCGCTAAAGTCATCTCTGTCAACAGCACATTTAATTCAACATCACATTTAATTCAATCCATTTTAATTCAACAATTTATGAACATTTTAAATTCTTTCGAGGGCTGTTTAGTAGATTCGTATTAATTTGAAATTATGTCCACATTATAAATGGCAGGATCAATTGATGTACATATTCGAGGACCGACCGGATTGATCGAAAAAGCAGATGTGCGATTTAACAACGACGAAAAACTTTCGTATTCTGTTTCTTATATACCCAAATCAGCTGGTGACTATAAGATATTCGTTACATTTCTGGGAAAAGATATACCGAACAGCCCGTTTAATGTGCACGTTACTGAAAATGTGGGTGATATATCGAAAATACAATTATTAGGCCCTGGTTTGCAGCCAGAAGGGAATTACTGCGGAAAAACCACCTATTTTGATATTATTGCAGAAGGTTGGTTTCGTGGTGGATATTTTTGTTTTATTTGTCAACATTTTTTCCATTATGATTTATCGTTTATGCAAATAGATACCGAGTGTGGTATACCAGAAGTGATTATTCTCGATCCAGCCGGTCACAAAACTACTGTTCCGGTAAAAATGCGTCAAATCTATCATAATCAATGGAGATGTGAGTACTCATCAAATTTAATGGGTCTTCATTCGGTCAATGTATTTTTTGGAGGCGTTCCGGTTAGAAATAGCCCATTTGGTGTAAAAATATCATCAAGTAAGACATTATTTTCATTTTCAAATTCAAATCGATTCATGTGAAGAAACTGTTTTGTTTTAAATTTAATTCATGCCACTTTGAAAATGTCCAGTTTGTGATTCTCGTAAAATACGAGTCAAAGGACGTGGAATACAAGCGAGAGGCATCAGAAATGGTGATGATGCTGTATTTTTCATCCATACAACATCCGCTGGTATCGGAACACCAGAGGTGAAAATCGTTGGACCCGGAGGAATCAATCAAAATGTTGATATAAAACATGTTAAAGAAGATGTATACGAATGTCACTATTATCCAACGAAAGAGGGGCGATACGTGATTATGGTAAAATTCGGCAAATTTGAAGTGCCGAAAGCACCGTTTGAAGTAATAGTTGGCCCACGCAGTCAGTCATCTATCGTTGCATATGGGCCTGGATTGAAAGGTGGCATTGCCGGTTTGCCAGCTTCATTCGTTGTGGAAATGAATGGCGAAACTGGTGCACTGGCGTTCAGTGTTGCTGGACCGTCACAAGTAAGAATATTCATTTGAGAATAAAACATCATTTCTCAACATATTACAGTTGAGCACGTAGCATTTCATGATAAATCATAATTATTATTTCAGGCTGAAATTGAATGCCACGACAATGGTGATGGCTCGGCGCTCGTTAGGTACCTTCCAACTGTCCCCGGAGAATATGCAATCCATATTTTATGCGACAACGAAGATATTAATAAGAGTCCATTCATTGCACAAATTCAACCGAAAGCCAGCTTTCGACCGGATCTTGTGAGATGTTCTGGAACAGGAATTCAATCTTACGGTGTAATGCTGAATTGTGCCACAGAATTCAGAATCGATGTACACGATGCGGGCATTGCACCACTCGAGATTAATGTAAGACTCGAACAAAGTAAACAAAATCATATACCCAATGAAAATTCGCAAGTTCACGCACACAAATTAGGTGCAACACAAAAAATATATTTGCGGTATTATTAATTCTTTTTAATTTAACAATTTTATCACTGACACAATTTGATCTTGAAAATTATGAATTTCGTCCCACAAAAACACAGCATTTACGTTACGACCTTCGCACATTTTGTTTTTGCTAAAAACTCAGAAGAGCTGTCAACACCTTAAAATAGAAAACGGAAATATAACATTTTTCATTCACTTTGATATCGTTCTAGATTCAAGATACATTAGGAACTCAGCTGCAGTATACAAGTTCAACTAATGAAAATGGCATAACAACATGCTGTTATACGCCTAAAAGCACCCTGCCACATGTGATCGAAGTGAATTATGGTGGTGTTGCTGCATCGGAATCACCTTATCGTGTTTATGTTTCAGCACCGCCGGATGTAACGAAAATCCGTGTGTTCGGCGACTGGTTTGAAACGAAAACCAAACTCAATGAGGGCAACAATTTCAAAATTGATACATCTCAGGTGGATTATGCCGAGTTGAATGTTTATTTGATCCACGAAGAAAGTGGCATAAAGATTCCAGTTACAATTTCAAATGACAATGGTGTTTATACAGTAGATTTAAATGTGAAAAAACCAGGGAATTATTTAACAAAAATTTATTACGGAGGAATCCCGTTGTCATTTACACAAAAGGTATACGTACCACCACTTCCAGTACCAGTAAATAATTACATTCCTGAATTATCCACGCCTCAAGCGTATCCCGAAAAAGTGAAAGTGTTTGGTCCAGCATTTTCGGAAGCAAATCTGTATGCTGGTGTTGCAACCTACTTCAATATTGATGTATCGAAAGCTGGACAAGGCATCGTCGCCGTCTGTATATTCAATATGAATGGCATACCCGTTGACAATGTGTTTGTTGTAAATAAAGGAGGTGGCTTGTATACGGTCAATTTCATTCCACCAAACGAAAAATCAATCGTGATTAGTGTTAAGTTTGCCCATCAAAATGTTAACTCAAGGTAGGAAATGGTCAAATTTATATGTTAAATTATAAATTATTATCGTCTAACTGAATTCGAATTGTGTGTCGAAAGTAGTAGGATTATGATCGTCAAAATGATTCGCTTAAAACATGACGTGACATTATGTCGTTCTGCCACTCTTTCAAATGATGAAAGATGAATCAGATTCCTTGCTGTTTCTTCTTGTTTTCTTATATCTATTCCTTTTGAAAACTATACACACATCTGTTCGAAATTCACATAAATTTTAGTTGTAAATTTTTCGGCATGGATGACATACATAAAGTGCGATTTGCAAAGATGTTGACATCCCTTGTCGCTATCTAAGCGATTCGACTAATTCGTTTGACCTTTTTCTATTTTCCAGTCCATTTCTGCTAACGATCATTACAAAAGATGATGAAAAAACTGCATTAGCTAGCTCATTTGACACGACACAATCCATTCGAAGATCCGACATTAGCTTGGCGATTGAGGTAAGCCTTTTCCTAATTCACTCTCTCTCCGATTCACTCACTACTCTCTATCTCTTCCGATGTGTGGTAAAAATACTTCGTTTCGGTTGCACAACCGAGATTAATATATCCCAATGAATTTATTGAGCGCTAAATCTAACAAGTAGCACGCGCATTCGTCCGCACAAACGCGCGTGCTTTCCTATCTAACATACTCGAACCAAACGAATGATGTCGGAAACATTGTATTAATCGGTTTTCCTCCTTGTCCTTACCAATAGGATCATTCAAGCAGTCGCGAAGATTCGGAAACGACGACACAAAATGCCGATTCACCTAGGTACAGACGCATTCAATTCAATAAATTGCTTGTGTCTCTACCGTTTGATGAGCTAAAAGGTAAGGATTGGTTTTTCCTTCTTAAAATCAATTCGACTCTGTCGATTACAGTCACTATTTTGTTCGCTATTGATTTCAACGTGAAAAGATGTGCATTTTTCTCGCCGATCGCACTTGTATCGTGCACATGATGATTCGCATTTTAAGTTATGCGATTCCAAGGGAAACATGTCTTTTTGAGATATGTACAGAGAAATAAAATGGGTCGGATTTTTCTTGTTGTTGCCCGTGTCGGTTTGCCATACTCAGTGCACATGATCACGGTCGAGTGGATGAATCAAAGCATGAATTTTGAAATCGTAATTAGTACATATTAAAAATCAAAATTCACTATCGCATGGATATTTCAATTAATTACTGTGCAACATGCCATCAGGCAAGGATAGACGCACACACATTTGCCAACTCAAATGAAAGAGCCTAAATGTAAAAGAATTTTTCTAACTAACAGGGAGACGATAAAAATAGAACCATTTACGCCAAGCAACACCAATAAATTACATCGACACCATAAAACTTGAAAATACAAATTTAAATTTATTTATTTCTAGTTCCAAATTGAGTTTTCAACCAATAAAAAAAAAACGAAGAAGATCATGGTAGCAAAAGAAAAAAACATAAGCGTCTGTGGCGTTTCTTACATTTCGAATTTTTTTTTTTCTTCAAAAGATCGAAAATGAGGGAAAGAGAGATAGAGAAAGAAACACACGGAGTGATAGAGATCACAAACTCCTCTCGAATCCACAGCGAGGCATGTGACACACAAAATAGTAAACGGATGGTAAGCAATATCACATCAATAATGGATGTGTGATCGCGCGCGAAAGAGAGGTTATTAATAAGAAAAACAGATCCATTCGGACAAAAAAAAAAATCATTCTCTCTGGTGCGAAAAGAGAAGGAAGTCATGTAAAAAGTATATATGATCGGCGACTCATCATATTTACACTTTTGTATAGTACATGTATTCCGACAGAAATAAAATTTAAAGAAAAAAAAATTCTCGACGAATGACGCTTCTGAAGGAATTTTGCAATGTTCCCTTGCCATGTCTCGGTGTCCGAAAAATCATATCATATCATATCTAGCATCTATGTCATTTGTAAAATCATCAGCCACACATCTTGACTTATGGCGGAAATTGTTTGAAAATTTGCGGTTGATATTATGATATCGTCGCGTCGCGTCACGTCGCGTCTCCCGTGAACGTACACCCATCGTTCTTCTCATAGAAATCTCTGTTTTTTTTTTTTTATGTTTCCGCTTCTCATTTTCATCGCATTCGTGTGACATTTACTTTCCTCTTGCGCTTCATAATTCGCAAATTTATGGGTCTGCTAAAACACGAAAAGTGAATTTTTCAGATAGCCAAATAAAAAAGGCGAAAATAAAAGACATTTTTCTATACAACGAAACAAATAGAAATTAGAACATATAGAAATTATCTGGGGTCAAGCATTTCTTGGACGAAAAGTGTATTGTCTGATTTTTCTTCTTCTTGCTTTTTCTATTCGAAATTTTTTGTACTTATACACAGGAAAAAGACATGATTGCACATTTGCATTGTGGTACATCGAACCCCATCTAAATTATTGACAATAAAATCTTTCTGCAAATCGTTAAAAATCAGTTTACTCAAACCATTAGCTGTGTGTTTTTCTGGCAGAAAAGAAATGGGAATATAAATAAAATAAAGAAGATGTTGAGAGAATTTTTTTCGGTTAACAAAAGGGTGAATCGATTTAATATATGGCCACCAAACTGACAAAAGAAATAAAATTTCCGCAAATAAACGTTGAGATTGATAGTTATTGTTTAATTTTCCGTTTTTTGACCTCACCGATATAGAATCATATCGGTAGAGTGACCGTTTGAATATCGTTTCTTTAGGGTGTATTAATGCCCAATATATCACTCACATATTATGAATAAGAGGCGCCAAAAGTGGCATAATCATATTGTGCGCTGAGAAAATGTGCGAATCGTTGATGAGGTGACACATGAAACGAAATTGATTTATGAGCATGCCACTTTGGCGATGCGTACACATTCAATTTGTGCCCATAAATCGACCCACCCTAGAGAATGGCATCGACAATTGCAACATCAATTTCGGTTTGAACAAATTTGTGTGCGTGTTTTTGTTTGTCCAAAAATATAAACTGAACCAAAATATTTTGTTCATAAAAATGAAATGTCATGTATTCTTGCGGTGTTTGTGTAAATGATACACGCATAGTTTCATCGAGTAAAGAAACAAACAACAGCAACAGATCGCCTTTACGCCGCCGAACAACTGTAAGCTGAGATCCAGAAGATCAAAGAAACCTCTGTACACTATAGTCTCTTGGCAATATTTTGTTGTTGTTTTTGTTGCTGTTACAAAGGCAATATGCACATTTTACCATCAATGTTTCAATGTAATTATTATTAGCGAATTTGCGCTTCATCTACTCGCACTAGTGCTATGAGCCTCAAAATTATATTCATTCATGAAGATATTTCTCTCACACAAAAATTCATATTTCAAATCCCGTCTCTTTCTGTGTATCCTATCTCTCTCTGTTACATCGCTTCTTCCCCTCTCGCTCTGTCTCTGCCTCTGAAACACTTTTTTGCGTTTTAACATGCATCATGTGATCAAAAAGTTGCAAATAGCAAAATGGCAAATCTCAAATAATTCGAATGAATGGAAATGTGAATTTTTCATTTGCATGATCTAAAACTGAGCACATTTTGAAATTTTCTGTAGAATATTGTTCCTTGCGTTGATTTTCTCCAGAGAAAAAAGAAATTGTGCAAACGGTTTTGTCGTTTTGCTCAGCAAGAGTACACATAAATAGGAAAATCCGTTGCGTTTTAAATGCGACTGAGTATCGTTCAGTATTTCATTTCTTCTTCTATTTTTCAGCCAATTTGAAAAGGCCATGGATGCACTTTGTACACAGTATGAACAGAGAACGCCGAAATACATATACCAAAATAACATAGGATACTGTTGGCCAGAGCCACCAAGCTCTGACGAACGGCCACTGTGTATTAAATTAAGAAAAAAAAAATTCTACATTCCATGTTCGCAGTCCGAATATAAAATTCAAAGTGCTAAAGTGTATCATCAACTCTCACAGAGAGATACCAAAAATTTTCACATCGCATTCACAAGTGGTCCGTGTTAACGTATAGACGGGTATTTAAAGTTTTCATCATCAAAAGTAATTCGAATACACGATGTTCGAATTCGCGTTTCTTTTTTTCAATTCTCGGGTTTCTTTCTCATCCACTTAATCAACTACCATCGTTGAATTTCCGATATTCCATTAAAATTTTGAAGAAAAAAATGAATAAAAGAAACAACTAGTGAATTTTTCTCAGCCTTCTTTTACTCAAATCTCCGATGTGACAAATAAAAAAAAAAAATAAACAAATATATAAAATCATGGTTCAAAATTGAAAATGAACAATTGATTCACATTCGAAATTCATTTTTACACATGGAGTCTGGCATCATCAACCAAGCAATCACAATTTCAATACTAGAAACACTACAGCTCAATCTGTTAATTATTTGTCACTACTCATTACCAATAAATTGTTCATTTCGTTCAATATCTAATGAATTGACAAAAACGAGAGTGTTTCATGGATTTTCAGAGTGGCAATCGAAAAATAATTGAAAACATTTAATGAGAAAATAATTGAAAACATTTAAAGCCTTTTTTTTTTGTTCAATTTTTGGAATATTTGCATGTTTGATATTTAACTTTTAATATTGCGTTCAATGCAATCATTTAATTAGGTGAAGAAAAAAAATCCCATTTTTCAAAAGATAATTAAATATGAAGAAGAAAAAAATGGTTCATCATTCATTCATCAATGAACCGAAAGCAGAACAACAATTGGCAACCAATGAATTGTATTTTTTTGTCAATTAATTCAAATAAAAAACATGGAAATTCGGAATTTTCAATGCATTTCTCCCTCATACCCTTTAATATTTCTTTTGATTGTTTAAATCAAATCATGAATATTTTTTTTACTAAGAAAGCAATGTGGTTGATGCACAGACCTGGTGAACAAGACGAGACCACATGGGAGGAATACAGTGAATTTCACAAGGATTTGAAATTAAATTTTACTGTGTCGGAAATCGATAGTGAGCCGAAAGTGGAAGTGTTTTGCAAAGAGCAAACAGTGCATGGAAGTGGCGGTTTCGCAACAAGTTTTCTCTCTCAATATCATATACAAACGCATCAAGGTAATCTCAAAAAATTAACGGGCGCAACAGCAAAGAAAGAAAAAACACAAAGTTATCAACAAAAATAGACAATTCGATTCAAATCATCACGCATCTTATCTTGTGTATGAGTGTTATACCAAGTGGAAATAATTGTAAAATATGGAAACAGTCTGTGAATAAAAGGATATATATGTTCTCTGTGTGCGGTAAATCAAACGGATAATTATGAATGCAATGGAAAAGGCCGAAAAAAGTACTTTGAAAAAGAATGGATATTTCCGTTTATAGCTTTTTGGTTGATGGAATGCAAAAAATACATTGCCAATAATTCCGCATTGCCCGATTATCGGATTTTGGAATATTCATTTTTTTTTTGTTTGTTCCAAAAATGGATGATTGCACGAAAAAGTGATTTAGCTGCAATATTGACTTTCACGCCGTGATAAACTTTCGTTGAAACTATTTATCGCACATCAATTAAATTAGAATATTATAGGAAGAGTGCAAAAAAAAAAAACATTGGAATGTTGATCGAGGATGCGATTCGTATTCTCCCTCCACCTCTCTCGGCATCGTCTCATTCTCGTCTGTTCATTAGTTGTATTCAATTTCTGACGTTTGTCGTTTTTTTTCTTCTTTTCATCTCATACACAAACATATATTAATTGGGCTATAGCGCGTTATATTCACTTTAGTAGTGAAGCCATCATTTTAACTAATAATTAGCAATTAAAATAATTCAGCTTAGCTACATCGAGGTTCGCCAACGTGTAAAACGTGCGGATAATTTCGGAATGGAGTGTACCGCATTCGATTATGTATGACGAATATCGTCTGTCTCAACCGCAAATGCCTGTCCAATCGACGTTCCTCTTTGCTTCTTCTTATGTCGTAGGCGAACTAACAATTTTTATGATATGTTATTTAAAGTTTTTATTGAACAGAGCATGCGACGGACGGACGAATGAACGATGGCTGTTGCCGATGTTAGTGGAGATCATTTTCTTTCTTCTTTTTCACCTTTTCTGTCTCTCTCTCTCTCTCATTTTCTCTCGTAATTTACCTCAATGCTCTCACGGCCAGATCAAGAAGGAGCAAATGAACGAATACGAATAACATTGTCGGCGACATTCATTTTTATAGACATTCATTTAGACGTGTCATATATATAATAACAAATAGCACACTTCCCGATATCCAACAAATTGTTTCAACGGCTCAAAACACGTAACTAATTGGTTATTTATGTTTGTTTTCTATTTTTGTTGGGAGTAAAAATGATAATTTTTACAAAATATGCAGTCTGTTGAATTGTGCGATTCTCATGAGGTGGTGAAAGTGACGATGGTTCAGTTATCAAAACAAGCGATTCCACATGAGATATTATGATGGGTGTGTTTTTATGAAAATTAAGTGTGATAACAACACGACATGCATCATAAAAATTACACATTCTAAATGGTGTTGCATTTTTGTCTCACTCGGTTCCACTGTGTCTACTACCTACTTAAAGCACCAACTAATAGATTATTACCACCATTGCCTACGGCTATGGTGAATGGGCAATCTCTTCAAACGAAAAACATCGTTGGCATTTTTCTCATAAATCTTCGGAGTGTTCTTTCATGTTGCACAGCTGAATCATTAATAAATGTCATTTGTTTACAGCACAAGTGAAAATGCCAAGCGGAAAAATTGATTTGCCCGTTATCGAAGACAACTTTGATGGTACAATTCGAGTTCAATATAACCCAACGGAAGACGGTGTTCACGAATTGGTTTTGCTTCATAACGGAACTCCTGTTCAAGGTAATTTACATTTTCCAAATAAGTTCAAGCTTATCATTATTATTAATGAAATTTGAGACATAAAAAAAACATTGTATCAGGGGCACAAACTAATTCAAAAGTATTATTAGACTCATAACTAATGACTTATTTTCTTTGATGTATATTTTCTTTTAAAAACTTTCATCAAAGGTTCAACAAAGATTTCTTTTAATCCAATTTTCCGAGTACTTTCCAAAAAGAAATTTTAGTGTTGCATATATGCATATTTCCCTGATCACAATTAGGCTGATCAAATCCGGAAGTAAAGTGATGCAAGTGTCTCAAGAATGTTACGCTGCAACGGTAGATGATTTTTGGCCATATTCCACTTGAAAACGATGCCAATATTTCTATTTTGATGCAGCCGTACGCCTAGCGACTGGCTACCTTGCATCAGTCGATTCGACCTTCGTTGCTTACTGAATCGATTTTGAATGCACTTTCACCAATTTTACTTGTAAAAAAGCACTGTGTCAATATAAAATGCTTCATTTCGCATTAAAACAGCCAACGACAAGGTTATTTTTAAATTTTCAATGAAAAAAAGTCCTTAAGTTTATTAGGCATTTTCGGATTGAGTTTATTTCTAAATCATATTACATCGCCAATTTGATTTCCAGCATCTAATCACTCGTGCGCGAGTCTCCACCAGTATATGCAAATTCTTTTTCGAGCTTTTTGAATCTCTGCTCCTGGCGGCAAATACATTGCTGGAATTTAAAAATATTTAATCTCTTATTAATTAAAATATTGCTGTTTCTTTCGTAATTCGTAAAGGTTCACCGTATAAATTCCATGTGGATTCACAGGCAAGTGGTTGCTTGACTGCATATGGGCCAGGCCTATCAGTTGGTAAAACGGGAGAACCGTGTGTTTTTACCATTTCCACTAAAGGTGCCGAAGTTCCATTGTTATCACTTTCGGTGGAGGGTCCTAGCAAAGCAAAAGTAAGCCATAATCATAAATTAAGTACATTCCCTTCGCCCTCTCTCTCTCTCTCTCTCTCTCTCTCTCGCCCTCTCTCTCTCTCTCTCTGTTAGATTCATATGAATTAAATTATGGTAAAAATATTATGTATGATTTCATATCATAAAAACCGTTAACATTTAGGAGTCTTACGCGAAGATTTATTACATTTTATAGATAGAAATTCTTTTATATAATAGCAATTTTATGTGTTAAACGATGAAAACTTTGGCTGAAAATTATAATGAAAACGTTTCATGTTATGTACATACTGTGAAATTTTATAATATTATTCGAAATAGGAGAGAGAGATCGATAGAGATAGAGAAAATGCTTCATTTGTTTGCAATTATTTATGTGGTGCGCGCGTTGTGGTTATTTTTTAGATTTCCTATACTGATAACAAAGATGGAACGATTTTGGTGACGTTTTTGCCAACCGAAGCGGGTGATTATAAAATTTCGGTACGATTCGGTGACAAGCATATAGCTGGGTCACCATTTATGTGCAAAGTAGAAGGCGATGGCAAAAAGCTAAGAAATCAACTTTCAATTGGATCATGTTCACAAGTGACATTGCCTGGTGTTTTAACCGATGCCGATTTGCGTTCACTGAATGCCGTCATCACAACACCATCCGGCATTGAAGAGCCGTGTTTCTTAAAGAGATTGCCATCGGGAAATATTGGCATATCATTTACGCCACGTGAAACCGGAGAACATACCGTTAGCGTCAAACGCATGGGCAAACAAATCAAAAACTCACCATTTAAAATTAACGTGTCCGAAAGAGAAGTTGGTAATGCGAAAAAAGTTAAGGTGACCGGAGCTGCACTGGAAAATGGAAAAACGCACACAGACAACACTTTCATTATCGACACCCGAGAAGCTGGCTACGGTGGTCTATCGTTGTCGATTGAAGGTAACGTTCACGATTTTAAAATTGACCATCGTAATATATTGGATCTGATATCAAGTATTTATTTATCAAAGGACCCAGCAAAGCTCAAATCAAGTGCCTCGATCAAGTTGATGGAACATTGCAAATTTCCTACAAACCAACTGTACCAGGGAATTATATTCTGAACTTGAAGTTTGCCGATCACCACGTCGAAGGCTCACCATTCAATATTAAGGTATCTGGCGAAGGAAAAAGTTGTCAACGCGAAAACATCTCGCAACAAACATCGGCCGTACCATCGAATGATGTCGGCAGCAAATGCAAATTGACTTTCAAGATGCCGGGCATAACATCGTTTGATCTTGCAGCCAGTGTTACATCGCCAAAAGGCGTCTGCCAAGATGCTGAAGTGCAAGAGGTCGAAGATGGTTTGTATGCGGTTCATTTTGTGCCTAAAGAAGAAGGAGTCCACACAATCTCTGTCAGATATACTGACATTCATATACCAGGTACTTTTCTTTCCGATTTCAACACAAATCGATAAGCATCGTCAAAAAATAATACTAATGAAAAATTCAAAAAAAAAAAAAAAAAAAACATAAACAGGTTCGCCGTTCCAATTCACCGTTGGGCCATTTGTCGATTCTGGTTCGCACTTGGTCAAAGCTGGTGGTTCTGGCTTGGAATTCGGTGAAGTTGGTGTTCCAGCTGAATTCAACATTTGGACACGTGAAGCTGGCGAAGGAAAGATTGCCATTTCAATTGAGGGACCTAGCAAAGCTGAAATTAATTTTAAAGATCGTAAGGATGGATCATGCAATGTGGCCTATACAGTAAAAGAACCAGGAGAGTACCATGTCAGCTTGAAGGTATGCATATGGATCTTGAACATTGAAATAAAATTCACGTGCACCAACGATTTTTTTCCATTCAAGTTCAATGAGCGCCACATTCCGGATTCACCATGGTTAGTCAAATTTAGTCCACCTGCTGCTGATGCACACAAAGTAGAAATTGCCCAATTCCCACAAGGCGCCATTCAAACAAACACACCGTCACAATTTTTAGTTCGTAAAAATGGCGCCAAAGGCGATATTGATGCCAAGGTAATGATGCTCAAATTATATGCGATCCAACGTAGTCATGTATGCTACATTATTCACGGATAAACGGAGTTTTTGCCCATACCAAATCAATAAGTTTAAGGGAAAAAAGTATGAAAATGTAATTTAATATTGCTGAATTTTCATAGATTGTTTCGCCGTCAAATCTATCCGATGATTGTTTTGTACAAAACATTGATTCAGAAGAAACTTCGGTTCGTTTTTATCCACGTGAGGAAGGAATTCATGCTATCCATGTCAAATTGAACGGTGTTCATATTCCTGGCTCTCCATATCGCGTCCGAGTCGGCAAAGATGTTGCTGGTAAATGGAAAACTATATTCAAATTCTTTTCAAATTGAATCACAATCTTGATATGATTTCATTCTGTAGATGCATCTGCCATCAAGGCTGAAGGGGCCGGTTTGAAAGATGCCGTTACTGGTCAGAAATCTCACGTCCTCATTAGCACACTAGATGCAGGCTCAGGTAAGCATAGTCAATAAAAATAACACCATAAATAAAGATGAAAAATCAAAATAAATGTTAAGTGGAGAAAATAATGCACGAATAAGAACGAAAGAAACATTTGTTGCTTGACGACCATTTAGGAACATTGTCAGTCACAGTGGATGGGCCAGCGAAGGTATCTTTGGATTGTACTGAAACTGACGACGGATACAAAGCAAGGTAAATATAATCTCATTTTTTATTAAATGCAATGCACTTAGCAATGAATGTCATTTGGGATTATTGACAGATACACGCCGTTTTTGCCTGGAGAATACTATATCACGCTCAAATACAATAACACTCATGTTGTTGGTTCGCCATTCAAAGTGAACTGTACAGGTATATACGAGCGCTATATTACATATCATTTACATATACATATATTATTTATGAAGGAGAAATGAAATACGAAAACGCATTTTAAAAATATATTCGATTCAATCATCAGGCAAAGCGATGGTTGATGAGGGCGGCCAAGAATCAACAAATGTGTCAGTTCAAACGGTTGCAAAGCACTCAAAAGGTAATAAAAATGGACCAGCTCTGCCAGTTTTCAATGCTGATGCAACAAAAGTCACAATTAAGGGAATGGGCATTAAAAAGGCGTTTGTAGGGAAACAAAATCAATTCACAGTAAATTGCTCTGAAGCAGGTAATTTAATTGCATTTTTTCGTATCAATTTGTCGCACAAGATTTCCAATTCCGATTTTCCGTTTCGATTCAAAGGTCACAGCATTCTGTTTGTTGGTTTGTACAACCCAAAAGGACCGTGTGAAGAAGTGCAAGTGAAACATACTGGCAAAAATACTTTCACCGTTAATTACTACATTCGCGAACGTGGCGAATACACATTATTGGTTATGTGGGGAGAGAATCATATAGCTGGCTCACCATTTGCTGTTGAGGTTCCAACAAAATGCTAAATTTTGTTGTGCTACCTATGCTATCATCATCACCATCGAGTTGCACTTGATTAATTCTTGTCTTCATTTTTTTCTTCTTCTGTTGTTGTATCAATCTCTCTCTCTCTCTCGGTCATATACACCGAACATAGTACAGTCCCATTTTTTGGCTATACCGATGGCAAATCCAAATAATTTTGGATGCGGCATGGAATTGAAATTTACTTGAAAGTTTCACTGAAACATGGAATGCGACTGGACCAGTATATGTTCAGCTCTTTTTGTCGATGCTGGTGTGTTTTCTCTTAGAGTTTGATGTTGCACATACTCTTCTCTCCCATCAATAACTTTACTTTATACACACACAAAAAACAAGAATGTTTGAATGGAAATTTTCATATTCTATTTTATATATTTAATGAATTTTGCATGGAGTGCCAAACGTTAAATAGACAGACAGATTTACATTGTAGCTTGTTTCATACCTCTATATAACTGAGTGTATTTCAACTTTTTAACACCTATGTGAACTGTGCCCGGAATTTTAGAAAATTCTCTTCTTTTTTTAAAAATCTATAATATAGTCGCTCCGAAGCGTGTTTAATGTAAAACTTTTTGCCCAAAATATAATAAAAATAAACGAAACGGAAAACATCAAAAGCATAAT